ACGGCGGGTTGAAATATCTCTCTTATTCACCCCGGTACCCCATTGTTTTTTGTCGCCATCACATTGAACACATCATTCCCCATGTCTTCAAATTTTTTCAAATTTTTCTTGAGTTCCTAGGGGATTGAAACGTTCAATTTAATCGAAACTCCATAAGAGGCCGTGTATAAGACTGATTTTGTTTATTTAATTTCTCGATATCCATAAGTTCTAAAATTTTAAAATTGTCACCGATGTTCACCATCTGGCTAATACTATTAATTTTAAAAATTATAACTTTGTTGGTGAATGTCAATTTTCAAGGTCATCGCCAAATTCACTTGGGACCCTTAAAGTAGCTCTACTATTACGGTAAATTCAAAGATTATGGAAAACTGCAAAAAAATTGCAGAAAACTCGATTAGATTCGGAATCCTAATTTTTTTCTCTATTTAATTATCGTTTTCGTTTTGGTTTTTCAAAGAAATGTTTAAAAATCGGGATTTAGCCCAGTGTCTTATGTGAAAATCAACATTTCCATTGTAATCAAAGATTAAAATCAGGATTTTTTTATTAGATGTGACAAAATCAAGAATTTTTTTTGACACCTCATAAAAAATACTCCACCGTTTTGCAACCAAGTTTTATTATTTATTTATAAGAGGAAAATGTTTGAAGAAATATCAATATTTTGCGAAATTTAATTTAGATAATACTGACTGGGTATGAATAATTGTCCCGAAAAATCGTGAAGTTCCTCAGCAATTAAATGCAAAAAAACTTCTCACATTCCCTCGAGTTTTCTAGAATTCCGATAGATGGCACTGCCCATAAGGACCTTTCCCAAATGCCCCCCTCCCCCATATTGAAACCATAGACGAATCCACGTCAAAATAATTTTAAAAAAAAAACATGAAACCGCTTGAATTCTGAAAAGAACTCAATCATTCATATTCCCCTAAACTCCCCGATTCATTCTCTGCCCTCACTTCCATTGAAACCAGTTGACACAATAATACTTCCCAATGAGTCACGGAACAAAGGACAATAGCATCATGAATACCATCAAAGAACGGGAGATTAGGATTCACAATCAATGCAGGCTTTTCCCATAATCACTTCGTGGAAGACCCGCCGTATTTTCCATAACTGCTTCAATAAATTAGTACATCTGAGAGAAATAACGCAGTACAAAGGAGCCTTGGCCCCATGATGAGTCCCACTCTCGACTCACAGGAAGCGATACCGTCCTGCCATGAATGGAAACGATAAACACACTCCCCTCGCTCTCTCTCTCTCTTCTGTGTACAAACACATGAACCCAGCGTTTTCCGACGATTAGATATATTATAAATGGCTTCCAGTTTCCAGTGCATGAATTGAAACACTAGGTTTCGTGGTAAATGTTATATGAGAATAGAGGAATAATGAGTGCGCTGGGCATCATTGAGCGCTCGGTCTTCGACCCACGCCATTCCTCCAATCGCCATTGGATTTACTGGTAAAACGGAATAATTACTGAATATGAGCCATTGTTCGATACACCCACGTGAGAGTTTTTATTGTTCGAGGATATGTGCAGCACTAATCGGGGTACGTGAGAGAGGTCTGAGTATTGTAATTGATTCTGGGGGTTTTCGAGCCACTACACTGAGAGGAAAACAGCAACGTTCTCAAACAAGTCTTACTTGTGCCAGGAAAATAGTTTTTTGAAAATGATCAGAAAAGGATTTTTTTGTGCCAAACATGCAGAGAGCAAATCGGCTTTTCAATAGAACCAATTTACTGTTGCTTATGCAATCTTCGAAGAACTATTTGACTCTAATTTTTTTCGTTCAGAAACTGCACTGTTAAAAAATTTTGACTAAAGTTTCCAGGCTTTAGTGTTGAAATATGAAACAAGTGACGGTTTCATTGAAATTTCAGGGAATTTTACCATTGAAAATTCGTGGTTTTCGTGGAAAATTCATGGAAATTTTAAATTTCAGTTAAATTATTCCATGAAAATTAATGGAAATTAGGAAAATTCAAGCAAAAATGTGCGTGAATTTTCAATGTTTTGAAATTTCAGAGCAATTTCTTATTGAATTATCATGTTTACATTGAAAATTCATGGAAATTTCGGAATCTTCATGTTTCTTCCACTGAAAAATCAGGAATTTCCTTGAATTTTCAGGGAAACTTGAAATTTCATAGACTTTTTTCCGTTAAATTGAATTCAGGTTCATTTTCTGGAAAATTCAGTTAAATTTTTTTAACAGTGTGGACCTTCCATCATTTAAATTACTGTAAATGAATGCATTTATTCATTCCAACAATGATAACTCACAATTAACAACAAGAATCATGAAATTGGAAGAACTTTATTTCCTGAAATCAATAAAGTGATTTGGAAATGATTTACAATTTAAACAATTCGGTATATTCAATGGAAAATCGAGAGAATTGTAGGTGCGGAACCCTAGGAATTGTCGAGGTATAATATAAAAGGGCGTACGAAGGGCGATGCAGGAAGGGGTGAGGGATGCGGTAGGTTAGGAGAGTCTCGTGTTCTGGCACATCGAGGATCGTATATAACCCATCCAACGTGGGTTTTACTGCATATTGGAGCTATAACCCCAGCGTTTATGATGGAGCCCTTCCTTTTAGTGGATGCCGGAGCTTGTGAGAAAGTAGCAAACCACCCTCCCACCCACATCCCACCAGCTTTGAAGATGAAATATTATTCTCACCGCTGCGCCCTGCAGGGACTGCACTTTTTTAATGTCACTATTCAAGTAATTCTCGCCTCTCCCCATGCGAAGGATTAAATGTATTATTTTCAGGACTGCGGTTATGTTCGTCTTGTAGAAATGTACCTTTTCATCACGCTGTGACGAAAAGTGAACTTTTCGGCTCCGCGTGCCTAAAAGTTCAATTTCCGCCACATTATGATGAAAAATATTGTTCGTAACTCGTGAAAAAATGTTTTTTGCACTCGTTATGAAATATACTATTTTGTCACTCTGGCAGTAAGACCAGAACCCTTCCTGGACAGACTGATAGACTGATTCATTTATTCCAAACGAGATTCGTTAAAGTAGCTCTACCTTTATGGTAAATTCAAAGATTATTGAAAACTGCAAAAAAATTGCAGAAAACTCGATTAGATTCGGAATTCTAATTTTTTTCTCAATTTAATTATCGTTTTGGTTTTTCAAAGAAGAAATGTTTAAAAATCAGGATTTAACCCAGTGTCTAAAGTGAAAATCAACATTTCCATTGTAATCAAAGATTAAAATCTGAATTTTTTTTCATTAGATGTGAAAGAATCAAGAATTTTTTTAACACCTCATAAAAAATAATCCATCGTTTTGCAAACAAGTTTTATTATTTATTTAGATGAGGAAAATTTTTGAAAAAATATCAATATTTTGCGTGTTCCGTGTATTTTGCCATTTTGAGAAAAAAAAAATTTTCAAAGAAATGATGTATTTATGATTAAACGAGTAACTTTGAACTTTCAACTAATAACTAATATCAGTATAAAACGAGAAAAGGGAAAACATTATTCAAAAATTGATTTTCATTCGGTGCGAAAATTTGACATCTAGAGGTCAAACAGAGATTTTGACATAGTCGAATTTTTAAGGAATTTTAATTTTTGATCGGTGCAAAGATGCACAGAACAAAAAGTGTTTAAATGTTTGACATGGTGGAAAGTAGGAATTCCAATTTTTTGAGATTTTTTCTCAACAACGTTTCAGCGTAAAAAATCAAAAATCGAGACAGAACGACGCTCGTGCCATGACGCGACCGATCGAGGGTTAAACCTCCTTGAGACATCTCATATTATATGATGAACCCTCACTTAGATCAACGGGTGTCCCCAAACGCCACCTTTCCTTCTGAAGGCATGTTAATTTAAATATTAAATTTATTAAGGTATTCTCAACTACTACTCGACTAGTCTCAGATCCGATCAATTAGCCCCTCATGTATAGATATTCCAAATTTTTATTTTTTTCCTCATTGAAGTAGTTTTGAAAAAAATTGCGAGCTAATAAAAAACGTTTGCTAAGTAGTACTTTTTTAAAAATGAATTTTTGAAAAATCACGCCTGAAAAAAAAGGCGTTATCCCCCCTATTTCATTATTTCCAAAAAATGTTATCACCAATCGGTAGCAAATTGTTTGAAGATTTTTGCGAGTTAAAAAAAATCGTCAATGCACTCCTATTATTGTGTAAATTAACAATTCCAATTTCAACTGAAAACCAGAGTTGATGACCAGAGTTTGTAGCAGAGATGTCAGACTAGATATGAACGTTTTTTTTGGCTCAAATGAAAGAGCGGGTCGAGAAATGGCGTGCAGAAGTCTTTAAAGATGACAAATCTCTCTAAAGATGATATCTGTTTTCAATTGAAAAGCAGAGTTGTGACATCACTGTCTAGGAGGACAATGGGGTCTAGGAGTATGTATAGAACATTGGGGTCTAGGAGTCTCCCCTGGTTCAAAACCATCTTTAGAGGTCCTAGCACGCCATTTCTCGACCCGCTCTTTCGTTTGAGCCCAAAAAAACATTCATATCTTGTCTGACATCTTTGCTACAAACTCGGGTCTTCAACTCGGGGCTTCAATTGAAGTGGGGGGCTAATTGATCGTATCTTCGACCCAATTTTTCCAATTTCCGTATTTTAAATTCCAAATCGAGTCACTAGCGCCATCTGAAGAAGTCCCCAGCTACTTCTTCCACCAATTGAAATCTGAATTTCAAGTGATCTATAAAATAAAACCGTAATTATCTCTTCAGATATCCCTCTCAACTGAACAAATTCTCATCCCCTCACTTTTAACCCTTTCGTAAATGACAAATGAAAAAAATACTGTCGACAAAATCGATCAAATCGAAAACCCTCGGCGCACCCGTCGATAATAAAACCCTCTCCGCTCTATTACCCAACAGTCGATAAACCAAAAAAATTCCGCAGATGTCGCGTCACCAAAATTCCCCAAAAAGTGCCGACATCTCCGTCTGCCATGTTGAATTGCATTGTCATTGGCAGCGGAGGATTTTTCGGAGTGTAAACTCGAGTGCGTGTGGCGAATATCACCCCCAAAACCGACAAAATTCCCGATAAATCGACACTGCATTCTCCAAAAAATCCAACAGCCAAGAGAGCCGAGATCTCCCGTCTGTATGTGGCATTGAGCTGATCGAATAATCCGGGGAATAATCAGGTGGTAAATAGTAATCATGTCGGGCGGTGCGTTGTTCAGCAATAATGCGGTGCGAGGTAGCAGTAAGAATCTAGTCGAATTCAAAGCCGGGAAGATGACTGTCAAGGGAAAGATGGTTTATCCGGACACGAGAAAGGGACTGCTCTACGTTTTTCAGTCTGACGATTCGCTCATGCACCTCTGCTGGAAGGATCGGACTTCTGGAACTGTTGAAGACGTAACGCAATGCCTGAGGCGTTAATTGCCCCTCCAACTGCAGTTTGATGTGATTTTTAATGACCATTTGTTGTTGCAGGATTTAATCATCTTTCCGGATGACTGTGAGTTCAAACATGTGTCGCAGTGCAAGACTGGACGAGTGTATCTCCTGAAATTCAAACTGTCGAGCAAGAAGTTCTTCTTTTGGCTGCAGGTGTGCCCAATGGCTCCTTTGATTTAAACTATTTAGGGGCGGGTGGGGCAGTATGGATGCCAGATTTATAGCGTTTTCGATTTAGGTTGCTCTACGCCGGAGTGAGGTACCCTACGCCGGAGTAGAGTAGAACTAAATCGAACATAACAGGGGGCAATTTGAAATATTTACAGTAAAATGAATAAACATGTCAAAAGAGGAGGATAGTATTCATAAAAAGGTAATGGTCAATAGTATATCTAATAGTTTATTAGTTTCTGACAAATATCCTTCTCCTTTGTCACTTTGATTAATTTTTCTGCAAATATTCGAATATTTAAATCGAAAATGCTATTAAATAATCAGCTGAATTGGACTTGATTTTTGAGTGTAGAGATTTTAGCTTTTGCCTTCACCCCGGAAATGAAAAATCGTAATTTCGTGAAATGTCGACGCTTCATGGCGAGTACATTGAGAGAAAAATGACAGTTCTCAAACAAGTCTTACTTGTGCCGAGAAAATAGCTTTTTGAAAATTATAAAAAAAGGATTTTTTTTTGGGCCAAACATGCATAGAGTGCGCTGGAATGAAAAATTTTTGTCGCAAAATAGATTTAGATGTTCAAAAAAAATTGCATTCTCTGTAGACGCACGAAATGTCATTTCTAGCACTACTCCTTCGTTATTCGATACTTCCATACGTATTTTGCTCCCGAAAAATCTTTGTTTTATGCGAAACAAGGGATAGTAGTTTTTCGTTTCGACTGTCTAATAATCACAGACAACAAATGAACCCTTAAATGAAACAATAATAATGATATGATAGTAATCTTGTAACTTAGGGATAAAATATTTGTTGATAAATTGTCCTCTGTATGAGATATTTTCATCCTGAAAAGGCACCGTCTGGTGTGAATTATCCGCCTCTTGAGCCAAATATTTCGTTGCTGTCGAAAGCAGAACAATTATTCATGTTTGAGACTTTCAAATTCGAATCAAATAAATTCTTTTTTGGCAATTTTCAACTAGCGATTTTGTTGGCCCAAACAAGACTTGTTTGACAACGTGTTTGTTTTTCTCTTAGTGTAGAAGCTCACCATATTATGAAGCTGGAACTAGCGAAAGATTCGACAGCAGAAAATTTGTTTGAGGTAAATCTAGGGATGTACAAGTGGTTTTAAATAATGTACAAAATCTTTCGCACTTGAAAGACATTTGACTCGCCTACATACCCCCAAAATTGAATTTTCTGCTGACGAATATTCAACTAGTTTCAGCTTCATCCCCATATTTTCTCCTATAAATCACCTGCAAATTATTTATCGAATTCCCCCTCCTGCAGGACCTCAAGACTGACAAAGATGAGGAGCACTGCAGGAAAATCAACGAGGTCCTCAACAACCCCCCGACCCCGGGCTCCCAGAGAAGTGGAGGGGCCAATCCCGATGGCGACCTGCAGAATCTTCTCAACAACATGTCCCAGCAGCAGTTGATGCAGCTGTTCGGGGGAGTGGGTCAGATTGGGCTTGGAAATCTCCTTGGAACAATGAGAGATCGTCCCAGCAACACGAGGACAAGCACCACCACTGCCTCCACACCAGTGACCACCAGTGCCACGAGACCACCAGCAGCTCAGACCCCAGCGCCTGCCAGTGTCACAGAAACCCCGAGGTCGTCCTCGGGCGGCACTCCCAAAAATAATTCCGGGTCTAAGCCACCAAGTTCTATGACCCTTCTCGAGAGAACTCCCACTCTCATGAGTGACCCACATCTCTTCGATCTCCAGAGACATCTCTGGAATATTTCTACACCTCCAGGGGCTGAACCTGTTGTTCAGGTATAAAATTGTTTGATTATTTTGGTTTCATTCGTTTTGAGGGATTTAGTTGCTCCAATTTAATTAAAAACAAATCGAGGGTGAGGAGTTGATTAATTTTCTTCATTTTTACTTGATAATAATCTATTGAAATTTTTAATTTTCTGTTCATTTATGAAAGAGAATTAATAATTTAATTAATATAGTCAATTGTGGGAATATTTTGGTTTCATTTATTTTGAGAAACTGAGTTGCATCAATTGATATGTAAAAATCGAGATTGAGGAATTGATTAACTTGCTTCATTTTTATTTGATATGAATCTAGTGGAATTTTTTAAAATCCCGTTCTTGATGGGGACATGACAGAGAATTAGTAATTTGCTTAATACTTTTGAGAATAGATTGAAGTGATGGAGAATCATTTCATTATCTTCATTACGGAGAATATTACTTAATGATCTAGAGAATGAGTGACTTTAAGAGGATATATCATGGGATATTTTTGGATAGGATTTTTATTTTTGGTACAGATTCCTTTTCAAATATCTCTAAACTTTGTAATTTTTTAGCAAAAAAAATGACAATTTTTTCTAGAAAAGAAAATACTTTACATTATCTTCAAAACTCAGTCATTACTCCAATAATTTCATGATAAACTGAGATATCAGTCATATTGACATCAGCAAATTAAATCAGAAACCTTTCAACTGTTTCATGCAATCATTTGTATTGATTCTACAGAAATACCAAAATTATCTCAAAAATGATAATTCCTCTCCTCACAAAACCGTAAAGCCTCATCTTCACATAAAAATAATCAAAAGTTGAAGAATTTTTATCCTAAAATCCTCTATTTTTCAATTGGAGTAACTACCTAAGCCCTCTATATTCTCAATGTCACCGATAAGATTAGCCTTCACTATCCACTGTCAAGAGTGAGATACCATTAATACCATTGATACAATTGCCCTGCCATTACCCCACGTGCAAAGCCCTCCTCCGACTTGACGAGACGCACCCCAGAAGACAGATCGTTTCGTATCACAACAAAATAAACAAAAATGCGGAGAAATATTGCAAGTGCAGACGGAAAATAATGTCGCGGCGTCGATGATCGATCGCTACCAGAAAATTATCGTCGGTATCAGTGCAGTATCAGCCGGAGGAATATAAAAAATAATAGCGTTCAAATTGTGATTCCAATCCTCCAATATTAATATCGATCGTTGCTGAGTGCATATCGAGGAGTTTTCTCACTAGATAAAGAATAAATTCCCGAGACATTGTATTGTGAACAAATACTGCGTTGTGGAATGCTGCGGTTCGAACTCGAGTACTAAAAAATATTAATCGATTGAAACGGAATGAATGACGGGAAAATCGATGGGGGAGAATCAAGAGAACATTTTGTCGGGAATTTGTGAACACTTTGCGATATAAATTGACAATTAAGGAAGTGAATTCAACTGGAAGTGTCTCTAATTAGTTGAGAATCAATTAAAGTGAAGATTATTAATCAATATGAAAACAGTCTGAATGGATATTGATTGATTCAGAGGAAAATCTTTCGCATTTTTGATGCTTTGAATAAAAAAGTGCTGGATGAATAATGAGAAAATCGATAAGAAAAGGAAGATAAGAATCGATAAGAAATTGAGAGAATATTTGCAGGATTTTATGAACATTTTGCGGTAAATTGAAAGTTATAGAAGTGAATTTAACGAGAAGCGTCTCCAGTCAGTTACGAATTAGTTAAAATAGAGATTACTAATTAATATGGAAACAATCGAACTGACATTGATAATTAGTTAATTAGGAGGAGAATTGCGAGTGTTTTATGCTGCGATCACCAAGCGAAAAAGATTTTTGATGTTTGGTATGAAAAAAGTGCTGAATGATCGAAGAGACAATCGATGGACGAAAATTGCAAGAACGTTTACGAGAATTTATGAATATTTTGCGGTGAAAATTGAAAATTAAAGAAGTGAATTTAACTAGAAGTGACTCGGGTCACTTACGAATCAAGTGAAACAGAGACAAATCAATCTGGAAACAATCTCCACTATTTTATAATTAAATCAACAATAGATAGACTTCATTTATGTTTTCCATTAAAAAAAAGTGTTCCAATGGAGGAGATTAGAGAACTTCAGCGTTGGATCAACAACAATGAAGTTTGATAGACTTTTTGATCAGTACTATATTGAGTAATATATTGATAATTTTAAGGAGTTTGTCAATTATCGATCAATTTCAATTGTTTGGAGCGGAATGAATGAATGAATGAATCGTCGTGTCGTTTCGAGAAAAAAAAAAGTAGTAGAGATCAATCATTGGATTCCTCAATATTAAGAGAATTTGAACGTTACATTGATCAAGGCTTCACATATAATCATAAAAATTAAAAAGTACAAAACAAATTGATAATATGGGACTGTCAATTATCCATTAAGTAAATCTCAAAAAACCTAAACTATCGAGTCATAAAACAATTTCGAATATTTAATTGATGATTAAGGTAGTAATTGAAAATTGTAGAGAAATATTAACTAATTGACTAGTTGAAAATTATCAGTCATCAATTATTAATTAATGATTATGGTTATCGATCAATTTCAATCGTTTTGAGCGGAATGAATGAGTGAATAGGTCGTGTCGTTTCGAGTGAAAAAAAAGTAGCAGAGATGGCCATCAAACATTGGATTCCTCAATATTAAGAGAATTTGAACGTTACATTGATCAAGGGTTCACATATAATCATCAAAATTTAAAAATATAAAACAAATAATGTGGAACTGCCAGTTATCCATTAAGTAAATTTCAAAAAACCTAAACTATCGATTGATGAAACAATTTCGAATATTCAATTGATGTTTAATGTAGTAATTGAAAATTGTAGAGAAATATTAACTAATTGACTAGTTGAAAATTATCAGTCATCAATTATTAATTATTAATGATTATGGTTATCTCTGGAAAGTGGATATTTTGTTAGACAAGTCGATGGAAAAAATAGTGATACCGGAATTTATCGTGAAACTGATGGGCATGAAATTTACCTGGTTGACTGATATCCTCACACTGGTAACATGCTGGGGAAGTAAACGTGGTGTACGTATTGTATGTTGTTCACGGTCGGCTACAGCAAAGCTTATTGTCCGACAGAGGGGCGTAGCGACTGAGCTGACGAATACCATCCCAGCGGCGATTACGGCAACGGAAAGCCTGGAACGGACAATGAGCAAGCACTTGCCACCCGGTGACAGTCTGTGTACCACGCTATCGTCCCCACAGTTCTCCCAGGCGCTATCAATGTTCTGGTCTGCTTTGCAGTCGGGCCAAGCCAGCCCAGTTGTACGACAATTTGGACTTGGGGCTGATGCAGTCAATGCAGCTGCCACTGGTAATCTTGAGGAGTTTGTCAGTGCTCTCGAGGGCGAGGGCAAGTCAGGGGCCGCTGGACAAGCTGGCGAGACCGAGGAGAAGAAGGCTGAGGCTAAGGGCGAGGGAGCACCCAGCAGCGAGAAGAAGGACGATGGGGAGGATCCCATGGCACTCGATTGAGGAGGTTTTTTTTGGCTTTTTTGGGGAGGAGAGTTCGATTTTTTGGAGGAGCTTTCGTTATTATTCGATAATGGTTTTTGATCGTATGGATTAATAAATGAGATTTGAAAGATTTTTCAAGGCGTTTGTCCCTCTTTTTGTTACTACCATTTCTCTGAATGAATTTATTAAGATTTAGGATTTAAGGAATTTTACTATAGAGGCGGTCCTTGTTCTCAGAAAGATTGAGGCTGTTGAAATTGTGCGCGAATTTACTGTCAATACTTGTTGGAATATTTTGGCAAGTGACAGTCCAGGGGAATTTCAAAGGAATATCGTAATTAAAAATTCAGAATTTGATGAAAAATCAATGGAGGCTGGAAATTTTAGTTGAATTATTCTAGGAAGTTTAATAGAAATTGAGGAAATTTTAAGTTTGACAAAAAGAAATTAATCTGCAAGACAAGTTTACTAAAACCTACTAAACTTGTACAACTGGGTTAAGCAAGCTCAGTTGTACAACAATTTGGACTTGGGCTGATGCTGTCAATGCTGCCACTGGTAATCTTGAGGAGTTTGTCGCTGGACAAGCTGGCGAGACCGAGGAGAAGAAGGCTGAGGCTAAGGGCGNACGGAATGAATGAGTGAATAGGTCGTGTCGTTTCGAGTGAAAAAAAAGTAGCAGAGATGGCCATCAATCATTGGATTCCTCAATATTAAGAGAATTTGAACGTTACATTGATCAAGGCTTCACATATAATCATCAAAATTTAAAAATATAAAACAAATAATGTGGAACTGCCAGTTATCCATTAAGTTAATCTCAAAAACCCTAAACTATCGATTGATAAAACAATTTCGAATATTCAATTGATGATTAATGTAGTAATTGAAAATTGTAGAGAAATATTAACTAATTGACTAGTTGAAAATTATCAGTCATCAATTATTAATTATTAATGATTATGGTTATCTCTGGAAAGTGGATATTTTGTTAGACAAGTCGATGGAAAAAATAGTGATACCGGAATTTATCGTGAAACTGATGGGCATGAAATTTACCTGGTTGACTGATATCCTCACACTGGTAACATGCTGGGGAAGTAAACGTGGTGTACGTATTGTATGTTGTTCACGGTCGGCTACAGCAAAGCTTATTGTCCGACAGAGGGGCGTAGCGACTGAGCTGACGAATACCATCCCAGCGGCGATTACGGCAACGGAAAGCCTGGAACGGACAATGAGCAAGCACTTGCCACCCGGTGACAGTCTGTGTACCACGCTATCGTCCCCACAGTTCTCCCAGGCGCTATCAATGTTCTGGTCTGCTTTGCAGTCGGGCCAAGCCAGCCCAGTTGTACGACAATTTGGACTTGGGGCTGATGCTGTCAATGCAGCTGCCACTGGTAATCTTGAGGAGTTTGTCAGTGCTCTCGAGGGCGAGGGCAAGTCAGGGGCCGCTGGACAAGCTGGCGAGACCGAGGAGAAGAAGGCTGAGGCTAAGGGCGAGGGAGCACCCAGCAGCGAGAAGAAGGACGATGGGGAGGATCCCATGGCACTCGATTGAGGAGGTTTTTTTTGGCTTTTTTGGGGAGGAGAGTTCGATTTTTTGGAGGAGCTTTCGTTATTATTCGATAATGGTTTTTGATCGTATGGATTAATAAATGAGATTTGAAAGATTTTTCAAGGCGTTTGTCCCTCTTTTTGTTACTACCATTTCTCTGAATGAATTTATTAAGATTTAGGATTTAAGGAATTTTACTATAGAGGCGGTCCTTGTTCTCAGAAAGATTGAGGCTGTTGAAATTGTGCGCGAATTTACTGTCAATACTTGTTGGAATATTTTGGCAAGTGACAGTCCAGGGGAATTTCAAAGGAATATCGTAATTAAAAATTCAGAATTTGATGAAAAATCAATGGAGGCTGGAAATTTTAGTTGAATTATTCTAGGAAGTTTAATAGAAATTGAGGAAATTTTAAGTTTGACAAAAAGAAATTAATCTGCAAGACAAGTTTACTAAAACCTACTAAACTTGTACAACTGGGTTAAGCAAGCTCAGTTGTACAACAATTTGGACTTGGGCTGATGCTGTCAATGCTGCCACTGGTAATCTTGAGGAGTTTGTCGCTGGACAAGCTGGCGAGACCGAGGAGAAGAAGGCTGAGGCTAAGGGCGAGGGAGCACCCAGCAGCGAGAAGAAGGACGATGGGGAGGATCCCATGGCACTCGATTGAGGAGGTTTTTTTTGGCTTTTTTGGGGAGGAGAGTTCGATTTTTTGGAGGAGCTTTCGTTATTATTCGATAATGGTTTTTGATCGTATGGATTAATAAATGAGATTTGAAAGATTTTTCAAGGCGTTTGTCCCTCTTTTTGTTACTACCATTTCTCTGAATGAATTTATTAAGATTTAGGATTTAAGGAATTTTACTATAGAGGCGGTCCTTGTTCTCAGAAAGATTGAGGCTGTTGAAATTGTGCGCGAATTTACTGTCAATACTTGTTGGAATATTTTGGCAAGTGACAGTCCAGGGGAATTTCAAAGGAATATCGTAATTAAAAATTCAGAATTTGATGAAAAATCAATGGAGGCTGGAAATTTTAGTTGAATTATTCTAGGAAGTTTAATAGAAATTGAGGAAATTTTAAGTTTGACAAAAAGAAATTAATCTGCAAGACAAGTTTACTAAAACCTACTAAACTTGTACAACTGGGTTAAGCAAGCTCAGTTGTACAACAATTTGGACTTGGGCTGATGCTGTCAATGCTGCCACTGGTAATCTTGAGGAGTTTGTCGCTGGACAAGCTGGCGAGACCGAGGAGAAGAAGGCTGAGGCTAAGGGCGAGGGAGCACCCAGCAGCGAGAAGAAGGACGATGGAGAGGATCCCATGGCACTCGATTGAGGGGTTTTTTTGGCTTTTTGTGGGGAGGAGAGATCAATTTTTTACAATCAGACATTTTACAATGATATTATTATCTAAACTTTTCAGGTCTGAACTTGAATCTTGATACTGAACCGTTAGAAAACATTTAAAAAATCTGAAAAAAATTAGAAAGTTTACTTTTGAGGGGAGATTGATGAAATAATTGAAAAATTGCAATTTTTGAACATTACAAGTATTTTCTGTAAATAATTTATAAATAATCAATTTCTCACCGTGAAAATGATTTTTTTTCGGGATCGTAAAAAATTCCTTCATATTAAGAATTTTATCAGAAATCGATTTCATGCGTAAAAAAATAGTAATTCTGTGCAAAATGTAATTTTAATGACGCTGAATATTCATCATGTTTTTCAATTTTTTCTCACGCAATTCAATCGTTAAATTTGATGATCGAAAATTGTTGAATCTACACTGAGAGAAAAACAACAAAGTTCTTAAACAAGTCTTACTTGTGCCAAGAAAATAGTTTTTTGAAAATTATTAAAAAAGGATTTTTTGGGCCAAACATGCAGAGAATGCGCCCAAATGAAAAATTTTTGTCGCAAAAATAGATTTAGTAGTTCAAAAAAAATTGCATTCTCTGTACACGCAAGAAATGTCATTTCTAGCACTACTCCTTCGTTATTCGATACTCCCATACGTATTTTGCTCCCGAAAAATCTTTGTTTTACGCGAAACAAGGGATAGTAGTTTTTCGTTTCGGCTGTCTAATAATCACAAACAAATGAACCCTTAAATGAAACAATAATAATGATATGATAGCAATCTTGTAACTTAGGAATAAAATATTTGTTGATAAATTTTCCTCTATATGAGATATTTTCATCCTGAAAAGGCACCGTCTGGTGTGAATTATCCGCCTCTTGAGCCAAATATTTCGTTGCTGTCGAAAGCAGAACAATTATTCATGTTCGAGACTTTCAAATTCGAACCAAACAAATTCTTTTTTGGCAATTTTCAACTAGCGATTTTGTTGGCCCAAACAAGACTTGTTTGACAACGTGTTTGTTTTTCTGTCAGTGTATTATGTAGTTTTTACCAAACCGCAAAAGATAGGTACTTGGATATCCCTAAAAAAAAAATCGAGCGTCCCAAAACATTGATTCCCGATTCAGAGTACGTGAACTTGTAACGAGGGGATGGCGGGTGGGTGAGGGCTGAAACAACCTTGGTGACCTTGAACTAAACATGCGTGAATCGTCAATTATGCGTGCAAGAACCTCGTGGACATCTCCCACTAAAAAAAAAAACCATCATCCAACTCGAGTGATAACGCCCCCTCCCCCCCTTAATCGCCCCAGAAGTTCATTACCCTTGACCTTGAGACACTGTTCAAGGAATCCAGGCTTTTCCATCCGGAAAAACCGTTCGTCCCGTCGGCCCCAGGGACGAGCGCAGGCGCAATTGACTCACTGGAGTCTCGTGTGGCGGGAAAAATTTCTGTCCAATCACTGGACTTTGTTTACGACGCACAAACGCACGATTGGCGGACAGCAATAATCGATATAGGACATTGCCGCCAACATTTTCCGATGATAGAGTCTCAAGGTCGCGTCAGGTGATCAATGATAACTAGGTGAAATTGAATTTTAGGGGCGGGCAATTGATTTCAGGTGGTTCTGGGGTTCTTTGTGGCTTTTTTTCATTGAGATTGAGATTTCGTCAGTGGCGGGAGGGAAATCGATGGCCCCGCGGTGCCAAGCAGCACCAGATGTTTGCGTGGCTAATTCGCGGGGAGTTTCTATTGGAGGATTGGGAATGATATCATCCAGGAACGGATGTTTAGTGTGGTATCATAAACAAACAAGTGGGGAGGATGAGAAATGCTGGAAAATTACTTTTTTTGTGGATTTATGGCTTCGACGATTTTTGTGGATTTTCCTCGTTTCCCAGTGGGAATTAATGTAGAATAAACATAATGTTAATTTTGAAGATGAAAATCGGAAATAAATTCTGAACGGAAGTTAATATAAATAGAAACATTCCGGTGGAGTTCGTGCTCAATCGGCAGTCTTGTATTATTGATAATAATTAATATAGTACTTTGACTCTGTAAGACAAAAATAATTTATTATGATAATTGATTGTTTATTGGGACAAGAGATTGATTCCAATCATTTTGGGGATTTATTCTGATAATGTTGATTGATAAATGATCGGAATTAAGTGATTTGTGATGAATTGTGAATGTTTATCGTATTGTACTGATTATGTAGGCATGAGAGTTTGTTTTGAAATTTGGAAAAAAATTGTTTTGAAAATGTTGAATTCTGATTTGGGTTTGAAAGATTGAGAGACGTAATTAATTGAATTGATATTGGTAATACGTGTATGTGTAACCTTCATGTTCAGTGGTAAGGGGAAATCATTCCGGGGAAAATGATTCAGGGGGAATTTTTTCCGAGGAAATTTTTTCCGGGGAATTTTTTTCGGGGGAAAACAATCCGGAAGCCTACTGATAGCGATGGCTGTGTTGCTAAAGTGTAGGATTGGCAGAATTTGTGACACTCTGAATCTCCCGGTTTCATTGTCGAGCGGGAGTCTCGCAAGCGACGACTGTACGAGGACAGGTTTTTCGCTGAAGTCAACTATTCCATGAACATGAACCGAAATTGAGAAATTCCAAGTGAATGTATTCTTAAACTCGTCAATTAATCGAAAAAGTGTGGAATTCTCCTGAATTCCCCCTGAAACTCACAAATTCATAAATTTCCCCCCTAAAAAAATTCCATCCCCTGGAAATCCCCCTAAAACTTTCCTCAAAATCCCAATTTTTCAAATGAGCAACAGAAATTAGGATGTCTACTATTCCATGAAAATTGACAGAATTCAGGAAATTTCTAATAAACATATTCTTGAACTTTTCATTCCATCGGAAATTCATGTTATGATTTAAAATCCTGAATTCTGAAATTCTCGTTTTCTTTTGTCACAGAAAACATAAAATTCCACTGAATTCCCTCCAAAGTTCAAAATTTCATAAAGTTTCATAATATTTGTATTCTTCAATTAATCGTAATTGGCTACTGACTATTCATGTTATGATTTAAAATCCTGAATTCTGAAGTTTTTGTCTTCTTTCGTCCCAAAAAATTTAGAATTCCCCTGAATTCCCGCTCAAGTTCAAAATTTCATAATGTTTCATAATATTTGAGCCCTTCAATTGATCGACAATTCACCGTAATCGGCCACTGACTATTCATGTTATGATATAAAATCCTGAATTCTGAAGTTCTCGTATTCTTTCGTCTCAAAAAATTTAGAATTCCCCTGAATTCCCGTTGAAGTTCAAAATTTCATAATATTTCATAATATTTGAACCCTTCAATTGATCAACAATTAATCGTAATCGGCCACTGACTATTTATGTTATGATATAAAATCCTGAATTCTGAAGTTCTCGACTTCTTCCGTCTCAAGAAATATGGAATTCCCCCTGAAGGTCAAGATTTCATCATATTTCATAATATTTGAACCCTTCAATTGATTGTCAATTAATCGTAATCGGCCACTGACTATTCATGTTATGATTTAAAATCCTAAATTCCGAAATCCTTGTATTTTTCCGTCTCAAGAAACCCGGAATTCCCCCTGAAGTTCAAAATTTCATAATATTTCATAATATTTGAACTCTTCAATTAATCGTAATTGGCCACTGGATATTCATGTTACCATATAAACTCCTGAATTCCGAAATTCCCGTCTTCTTCCGTCTCAAAAACCACGGAATTCCCCTGAATTCCCCCTGAAACTCAAAATTTCATAACTTTGCCCCCTGAAATCCCTCCAAAACCCCCCCTAAATCCCCCGTTCCCCCCCAACCAACAGCAAGTAGAAACGGACGAGTCCACGATTCCCTCGATTTTCCCCCAACTAAACCCGTCACTGTCTCCCCACCCTCGCGCCTGCGCACACCCGCCGATTCCTCAGAATCGCACAAGTAGGTGGGGGATGACTCCCTCACTCATGGTGACCGAATGAATCCCTCCGCAAATTCCGCTGAAAATTCGTCACGGACTGTTCCGTGCATACGCGTCAACAGTAAACTAAAAAAAAAAAAATCTGTGCATCTCGCGTTTAAACAAAAACCCCATTCCCCCAAATCATCAGTGTCACATCAGCCCTGAATCAGCAATTGAAGCCCTGAAAGTTGAAAAAATATTTTGTTTTTGCGAAATGGCGCGTCAACGTACCGGTGTCATCATAAAATAAACACCTGGTAAATTAAATAATCATCCCTTGATAACAATTAATCATCCCCCATCCGACAATATTACCTCCCCCTCCCCTCCCCTCTCTTCATTCAAACCGAAATTTCCCTCTGATTTTTATTATTTTTTTTTTAATTCTCATTACTGTGACAGTAACGCTTGTGATACACCAAACGGTGAACAATAAAGCGACTCCGCTGGACATGGGTGAGGGGGCGGAGGGGGGCGGGGGGGCGAGTGAGGGGAGATACAGTAAAACGGATGGAACGTGCGTTAAAAGCAAGCGCGCGTATCAGAGTTGTGTGTGCGTTTCACGTAAAATGGCCAACCTTGACACTTGATTTCGTTTTTTTTTCTCGTGCAAACTTTTTTTTCTGGTGGGAGAGGAGTGAATGAGTTGCCGAACACATGGGCATGGGAATGGGTGACCTGAACAGGTGTCTCGGGTATTATTTTTTTGGGAGAATGATTGGGGGCTTTGTTGTGACGGTGCGCGGGACCGGAGGGCGGATTTCTCCCTTTTGCGGGATTTGCGCGGGGAGAGGGATTTTGGGGGACACTGTTAGAATTTTTCTGGAAATTGACCGATAGTTGCACTTGAATTTCCAATCGGAATTTAAATTCTTAAGGGTGAATTGTCTTTAGAACGTTATCTCGATAGTTTTTCTATTTTCATAGTGTAAAATATGTCAGAATTTCCGTGGGATTTTAGATCACGCAGGAGTCCCTAAAAATCGTGATTGTAAGGGAGGGTGGGGTAAAATGGACACTGGATTTTTTTAAAATTACTTATAACTCAGAAATAAATTTATCAATGGAGCTCAGTTTAGGCTCATCACAAAGGGCAAGAATTGTTTTTTGCATTGAAAAAAAAAATTATTAAATTTCATCGGCATTTCAAGCTGTCATTAACATTTTTAAAAAAGTCAAAAGTGTCCATTTTACCCCAACCTCCCCTGCAACCTGAAAAACAATTTTTGCCAGTGCCATCTAAAATTTAACAGGACATCGGCAATTTGTGGACAAATTACATGCTGTTTGCTGGGAATAAAAAAAAGTAGAAACAAAAATTAACATTTTCAAAGAGCGTTTTTAATGAAAACTAGGAAATAAGTCGGATAGAGAGGAAATAGTGAATGGATAATTTATTAGGGTAACTAATGATCTGACAGCCATTAGATACATCGAATTATTCATTTGCAATTTCCTCCCTGTTGGGTTTATTTCCCAATATTATTCAAAAATGCTCTTTTGAAAATGTTAATTTTTTTTCATATCATAATTTTTGGATACTCCAGGGCTATGTAAAAGTGAATAGCAAATGGAGGTCATTTCAAATTATCGAAATAAAAAAAAAAATCAAGATCACGTTGGAAAGATAATCCAGCCGAGCCTTAAATATACTGATCGAAATTTAAAACTAGTAAAATAATTGATAATCGAAATTTCCAATCGATAATGAATTAAATATTTAAAAATATGGAGCTATAAATTTTCTATTAAATATTCTAATCGAAATTAAAAACTAGTAAAATGATTGATAATTGAAATTTCCAATTGATGATGAATTAAATATTTAAAAGTATGGGACTATAAATCTTCTATTAAGGCCCGGCCGGATTATCTTCCGAAAACAAAAATGTTATCTCGATTGTTTTTCCATTTTCGTAATGTAAAATATATCACAATTTCCATTAGATTTTACATCTGAATGGCAAAAAACTGAATGGCAATTGAAGAATATTCATTGATTTGATTTTGAAAAGGAATGCTGAATGCTAGTTATTCACTTCCATAATTTCTAAACAAGACCTACTATTTATTATTAACAATGAAAAGCTAGAAGTTCAAGGAATCGGTCGAGGAATAACTTTGAATTTGTTTTTTTTTTTAAATTACATCCTGTGTTCGAATACTTTTTTAAACATTGAAGTTCTTCCTGTTTTTCTTTATATTGATTCGTTGGCGTGGGAAGTCTTCAGCAATTTTAGGGTGATACAATTACGAAGAAATGTTGATGAGAATGAATTCCACTGCTTCGATCTCTGCGCCATGTCAACATTGAGAATAAACACCTCAGACGTTTGTAAGGTTTAAATTGATACGAAAAAGGAGTGCTCAATGCATATCATTCCCTTCCATGATTGCGAATGTTGCGATTATTCTTGGGTTTAATAGAGCCATCGCGGTGGGAATTGATGCGGGAATTATGGGCGATTAGATAAGGAGTAATTGAATTATCGGGGTATTTTGTTTTAAAGATGCAGCTGGGAGCTTTGATTACTTGGATGGGGTGAATGAATGGGGAAAAGTATGCTCGGAGGAATGACACGTTTGGATGGAATAAACCTCCTTATTTAAAATTTTTCCGCTGAGGTGGGAGAAAATTGTATTTCGTGGAGAATTCGGTAGTGATTTGCAGGGGAATGATATTGAATTTCTTCGGTACAACCGATTGTCTCTTTTACAGTTCTATCTCTCCCCTCAGCCTTTCGATAAAATGTTAAGGATGTTCTACACCCTTTCTGCCAAAATTCACGTTTTCTTAATTTTTCTGGCAAACTTATGATGGAGTTGACGTGAAAAAATATAACGTTTTTGCGTTTTGTCATTATTTAATGACTGACGAAATTTTAAGGTGGTGCGAACATTTTCCTGCGTTTTCTCTAAACTTTTAAAAAGAATCACAAAACTGTAGAAAAAACGCATGAAAATTATCGCACCACTACGCAACTTCGTGAGCCATTAAAGAATGACAAACCACAAAATCGTTATATTTTTTCACGTCACTCCCATCGACAATTTGCCAGAAAAATGAAAACAATGTCAGCTTTGACTAAAAGGGTGTCGAACATCCTTAATAGAAAAATTTTATTTACACATACTTGAATGAATTTGAAACATCACATTTGAAGAAACCATCAGAAAGCTCACTTTCAGGGAAATTCATGAAAAATTCGAAATTTTCAACAATCATCTTAAAAATCAAGTCAACCAATATAGCTATCGTAATCACCTTTTAACTTTGACTTAATGGCATTAAAACAAACATTTTAATCTATGATTGAATTCATTTGGAGCATGATATTCAAAGATATCCCCGGAATTCTGATTTTCAAAAAATACAAAATTTTTGAAAATTTTCAAATAAATCAAAATAACGATTACTGCTATCGCCTTCATCTTCGAACTCGGTCTGAAGGACATCCAAACAAATTTTTCAAGCCATCATTCAATCAATTCAGAACATTTTTTTAGTTATCGTGGGACAACCGATTTTCTAAAAAAATCGAAAATTAAAAAAACTAGTCGATGAATTAAATTTTAATTAATGGCGACCGATAGGGCTCAACAATACCCTCAACCTACTTTTGAAAAAAAATATTCAATTCCATCCATTCATTCGCGAATTGAAGAAAAACTTTGTTACAAACGTACACACTGGGTCGATATCGGGGAGGGTAGGGTAAAATGGACACTTTTGACTTTTTTAAAAATATTCATAACTCAGAAACAGATTTATCAATTGAGCTCAGTCTAAGCTCATCCCAAAGAGGAATCATTGTTTTTCCATTGAAAAATAAAATTATTCCAGTTCATGAACAATTCAACACGTCATGAATATTTCAAAAAAAAGTCAAGTGTCCGTTTAACCCTACCCTCCCCTACCACAAAAAATCCCAAACTTAGATATGAGCGATTACAAAGCTTTCGACTCTTTCACAAAATAATCCCCTTCCAATCAAAAATATCAACTCTTCCTCTCCCGTTGTTCCATAGTTCTTCAATGACCTCCAGACTTCTGTGCCTCAAAGAAACCATCGTGACTCCTACAAACAAATTCTTCTCCAAAAAATCTCTCGACATTTTCCCCTAAACCCACTAATCCCCCCAAAGAAAACTCCCCCATCGGCCAATTAAACCCCCGAGAAAAGTCAAATTTCTCATGATCACCTTGACACGCAATACCCGAATATCGCCGGTTTCTGCACACCTCCATCCGCGTCTCAGTCGTCTCGTAACTCTCGCGGCGTCTCGACGCGAATTTCGCGTCTCCCACTGAAAGGCCAAGACCCAAACATTAAAAACCCCCTCACCCCCCAAAAAAAATCGTGACAATGTGGCTTCCCACCCCACGCGCACCGGCTCACGCACGCCCATTCCCTCATTAACCCCGCGATAGTGTGTCAACAGTGATCTATACATACACATATTTTTATACATCTCCCCGCCTGATTATTGCAGAGGTGGAAAGAGAGAAGAAGTCGTATCGAGAAGGCCTGAACAGCACAAGGCACAGGAAGTGGTTCTCAACTAATACCCAACGGTCCCAGCGATGTTGCGAGACCGAAACTCGGTACTAGAGGTTGTCGAACCATAAATAAACCAGAGAAGATAAAAAATAAATTAATCAGAAGTGAATTAATTAAACATCTGAAAAACTGAAACGTAAAACTCCAGGATTATCACCTCCCAAACGTCAAAAAACCGCAGGTGAGTCTCTAACTTCTCAATAACTGATCGATAATCAATAGATCATTGATGTTATCGTCAATTAAACGTTCAATTCACTGACAAGATGAAAAATAAAATGACAGGACGATTTAATGCGCGCAAAAATTGAAAAAAGAACGAAAACAGAAGAGAAAAAATTTGAATTTCGAATCGATTTCTAATCAATTCAGAGCATCTGCATATTATTCTGAAATATCAGAGAGCATCATTACAAAATCATCGAGATTGTGATATGAAAATGTAGGGACTACAAAAACCGTTATCGTGCAACAAGTATAGAAAGTTTTATATTTTATCCCCTCTCTTGGCTTTTTTTTTCTTACTTTTCCTTCCTTTTAAACCACACGTCTACTTTCCTCTTTCTCTCTTCATGCAGTTTTTCCCTCTTTCCTTATTTCTTTTCTCCCGTTGCTTGCACCTCCCCCCCCCCCCCCCCCCCCCCCCCCCCCCCCCCCCCCCCCCCCCCCCCCCCCCCCCCCCCCCCCCCCCCCCCCCCCCCCCCCCCCCCCCCCCCCCCCCCCCCCCCCCNGCACATCCAGTATTGCGGGTACACCCTGTATATTTAAAGAGAAACGAGGCGAATAGCAAGGACAAAGGCACGGACAAGAGTCAGACACGGGGTTTGAGATGATTTTTATTTTTGCTTCCGAGTGGAGCCATTGTATTTGTCAAATCTGAAATTTTCAGTTTTTTTGGGTGAAGATGACTAATTTTGGTCGCAGGAGTTGGAATATGCCGTTTTTAGATCATGTCCATATGTTTAAAATTTAGTTTTTCAATTAATCTTTTCAATTATGGCCCAGGGAACAATTTTTCGGATGCCATCTAAAAGTCCCCAGCAAGATCGGTAAATATCCGCAAATTTACCGGTAAATTGTTAGCTGGGCTTAAAATATTAATTTGGATGTTATCTCGGTCGATCCCATCATTTGCTTTGAAATTCGGTAGCGAAGTGGTAAAAAAAGTCAATTTTGACTCATTTTCAATGAATATCTTGGAATCTAAGGGAGATGGTAAAATTGTTGTTATGACCTTTTTTGTAGAGCCGATTGACTGCTACAACAAATGGAATTACGAAAATTTCGCTATCTCCTTTAGATTCGGAAATATTCCTCAAAAACTCAACTGGGAGATACGTCGACTTAAACCGTTTTACCACTTCGCTACTGAATTATAGCCTTAAAAAGCATTTAATCGAGGTTTAATCATGGTTTAGTCGGGATTTAGTCGGGGTTAAGCCAGGATTTAGTCGGGATTTAATCGCAGTTTAGTCAGGGTTTAGTCGGGATTTAGTCGCAGTTTAGTCAGGGGTTAGTCGGACTCTAGTCAGCATTTAATCGAGGTTTTAATTTAATCATGGTTTAGTCGGGATTTAGTCGCAGCTTAGTCGGGATTTAGTCGGAGTCTAGTCAGCATTTAATCGAGGTTTAATCATGGTTTAGTCAGGATTTAGTCGGAGTTTAGCCAGGGTTTAACCAAGGTTTCATCAAGGTTTAATCAATATTCAGTGGAAGTTTAAACCAGTAATTTTAATGTAGTCGGTTTAGGGATCATATTAAGGTTTCATGGCTGGTATATCTTCTCCTGTAAAACTACAGAAATTCAATATTGATGGGGGTGCCTGTTCGTAAGACGAAAATGGTTGAAAAGAAAAACGAATATGTTGCAAATTGTCTTAGTAATTGGGATGGTGCTGAGCTTTTGGAATTTTCTCACGCACTTCGATGCGTGGAAATCTCTAAGTCAAGAGTTGGTTCAGTGCGAGGATTGAGAGGGAAATATATTGAGAGGAATGGATAGGGTTGAGGGGTTTTTATGGCTGTTGGTTCGGCTTTTCTTCTTTGACGAGGGGTTCGTTGGTCTTCGGCCACACAAGGTTTTATTCCTCAACGAGTCTCGCAGAGAAGTTGCTCGACAGGATGAAAATGATGGAGGAATTTTTGGCGAAACGCTTTGGGAGGCGATACTGTGGGAGGAGATGAGGGGATTTAGAGATTTGTTAGTTTTTGATGATATCTGGGGGAGAAGTGGTCGGGGAAAAATGTCAATAGACGCTCTATAGGTTCTGTGAAGGATTCTAGCGAGGCCATTCGACCCGAGGACAATTCATCCTCGGGTATTTCCAAACCACCGAAGTAAAACAAGTGGATCATTGCATTTTTTATAAATTAACAAATTGCTTCCGAATGGGTCCTCTTTTTTAATTCTCATTTCACTATTCTCTTCTTCTATTTTTTTCATGTCATAGTACTGTCATCAATTGAAATGTCATCAAAATTTCGCGTATTATTTCGTTTTGGGAGATAATTCTACATTCAGATCCTCTCAAGACTCGAATTCGTTTTCAGGCCGGGTTTAATCGAGGTTCAGTCAAGGTTTAATCAGTGCATAGCCGGGATTTAATCAGGTTTTATTTAGGATTTAACCAGAGTTTAATCCAGATTCTGTCAGAAGTTAATCGGGACCATGAATCAATATGAATAAGTATTCAACGTAATAGACTCGTACCTGAGTTTAGTAAAGATAGAGATTTTGATATAAAATGCTCATGACGGTATTGTGTAACTTGATAAGCAATGATGCTGTTCTCACCATTTTTCAACTTGATTAAGAAGCCATTGAAATATACTTTTCAAGCCCTGATTTAATTGCTATTACTGATGATTCTTTCAGTAATCATGAAAAAACCGATTTTCTCTTTCAAATCGCATAAACAATGTGCTGTAACTCAACAACGAATTGTGCGACCCCCATCATATTCTGATAGAATCAAGAGGGTATTGTTATCAATGTTTTGAGCCATGACTAATTACAATTTGATGACAATTTTTTGAGTGATCGTTGAAAAATCAATTCTCGGAAAAACATCAATTTTTTAGAATCTTTGTAAAAAATTGAATTTTAATTGGTGTCAATGAATAGAGCTTATTAAAGTCTATATTCCTGAAAAAAATCATGAAATTCGATTGATCCATTGTACAAAAATTTCGAATAAAACTTAAATTTGAGCCGTTAAAATTTAACGTTAAATTAAAACCAAATAAGTCAATTTTCCTAACTAAATTATTGACTGCCAAAATAATTCGGAATTTGAATATTTAAATTGATGTTTACTTTAATAATTAAAAATTTAAGAGTGACATTAACGAACTAACTACTTCAAAATTTAAGAGTGATATTAACGAACTAACTACTTCAAAATTTAACGGTAATTATAATTTATGAATATGGCTATCCCTGTTTATGAATATCTGAAACTATTATATTGTTTCAAGAAACTCAATCGACTTTTTTTGTCATTCATTTGATGAACACGTTTACTCTACACGTAGCACGTGATGAAATGATCCTAGACCCCTCTCTCAAAATTCTCCAGCCCCCTCACTTCGCTCCAGGAGTTAATCTACAGTGAAATAATCAGACACTCCACTTAGAAACTCGAATAATATTTATCTCAACACCTTTACACAGCTCGTAGGACCTCAGTCGATCCCACTATCTCCCCTCAGCAACCCTAAGATCCCCTCCATCTCTTCTTTACAACAAAACATTGAAGTCCACTTGAATCAATTAATTACTCTCATAACCCCACTTATTCCACTGGCTTTATCGTGATGAACCTCGATAGGATGAACGCCAGGACGACTGTCCCTGCCACGAAGCACACCACGAAGACGTACCACGTGTCCTCGTCGAAGACGTCCGTGAATGCCGGGAAATAGCTGTAGAGTGTGTCCACAAGCTCCAACTGATAGTCCTTGTATCTTCCTGTCGACCGCATTCTCCTGAATTTCTCTCAAATCTCCTTTCCAATCCTCAATTAATCACTTATCCGCCCAAAAAAATTAATTACCAATCACAATCAATGAACTGAATTGCTTGAACTGTCTTGAATTATTTTGAATCGATCAATTATTAATTAAATCAATAGGTTAATTTTAAAAATCTCTTTTTGTTTTTATCGTTAATTTAATTTTGCGTAAAATGTTGTTGATCTTCTCCAGTTGCTCTTGAATTTTCCCTCTCGATTTTACTTCCTGTGTCTGCTTATCCTTATCTTCCTCTTCTTCTTCTTCAGCTTAACAACAACTCCCTTCCGCTCTGGCTCAGGCTCAGGTGGTGCCAAGGGAGTAATGTGTTTGTTGTACAGCTTGAGAATATCAATCGCTTCGAGATTTTTACACTTGAATAATACCTTTTCACCGTTCGCTGGATTGAAAGAGAGAGAGGGTTTAATGGGGTGAAAGAAAATAAAATGGGGGTGGGGTACTTACTCAGGTCGCAGGTCACTGTTGGCTCGGATCTGTCGCCGACGATATTCGTCTTCAGGTTGCACGTCAAGTTTGTTCGCAGTATTTTGGGGCCTGAGATGTAGTGCAGAAATTGCCTGCAATCAAGAGCGTTTGGTTCAGTTTTTTTTTCAATCGGGAATACGGTTTACGGTGGAATTGTGGGTTTTGAGAGGAAATTTTAGGGTGATTGTCGTGGTGATGAGGTGCAGATGATTGTGAAGGGGTATACGAGACATTTTTTTATATTTTGGTAATATTTTGGTAATTCTTTTGGATTTGAAGGGATTTAATGAAGACTCGTGTTGAAAATTCTGAGCGGGAGAACATTTTTGGAAGGAGACGGATTGTTGTCAATCAAATTTTTTTCAGACGAGAAATTTCTTGAAATTTTGGGAATTTGTTTGTCTGAAACAAATGACATTTCTGTGATAGAAAATAAGTTTTGACGAATATTTCGGTAATTCTTTTGGATTTGAAGATATTCAACAAAGACTCATGTTGAAAATAGTAAAAACAGTCGAGCTCATTTTTTCGATAAGTTTTTCTTACTATCTAGAGAAATATGAGAGATTTCGAATTATTTGGTTGCACATATTCTGTGGTGAATTTCATGGGTTACAAAAAAGACACTATAGAAATTTCACCACCTCCTTTTAGATTCAGAAATATTTATGAAAACATTTTGTCTATTTTGGTCAGTTTTGCAATTATAACTCAAAATCTATCGGAAATATGAAAATTTATGTTAAGACATTTATTGTAGCGAATTCCACGAGCTACAAAAAGAGTCCTCACGTGAATTATCGTATGTCTCTTCGTTTCGGAGATATTCCCAAAAACAAAACTGTTCTCCACTTGAACTGATTCACCTCATCAATGAGGATAACATCTCCGAGAATGACTAAAAAAAATCTTGTGGAAGTATTCTACGCAAAAAAATCCTCACACATCCTCAATTCAACATTCACGACTTCATTCATACCCTGATAGCCCCTCGAAACCAAAAGAAACACCCCAATTTGACTTTTTTATGTATTTCTGCAGGCGACATGGCAAAGCTGGAGCACCAGTTGCCGATCCCAATGCCGGATCTGTCCAGCCTGAGGATAACAACTGCTGTCTCCATGCTGGGGAAGGCTTACGGATGTGGTCAATGCAGTGGTAAGTGAAAAAAAAACCCAAAAGCCCCCAGACACTTAAAAGAATCATTTCGCGTTAAACAAGCGGACAATTGCATTTTTTTATAAATGAGTATAGTTATCGTTGCTAATAAATTAGCAATTTGCTTCCGGATGGATTCCCTTTTTTAAATTCTTATTTCACTACTGTCTTCTTCTATTGTTTCATGTCATGGCACTATCATAAATTGAAATGTCATCAAAATTTTGCGTGTTATTTCGTTCTGTCAAATAATTCTACATTCAGACCCTCTCAAGACTCGAATTCGTTTTCAGTCCGGGTTTGATCGAGGTTCAATCGAGGTTTAATCAGTGCATAGCCGGGATTTAATCAGGGTTTATTCAGGATTTAGCCAGAGTTTAACCCAGGTTCTGTCAGAAGTTAGTCGGGACCATGAATCAATATGAATAAGTATTCAACATAATGGACTAGTACCTGAGTTTAATAGTGATAGAGATTTTTATATAAAAAGCTCATGACGGTACTGTGTAACTTGATAAGCAATGATGCTGTTCTCACCATTTTTCAACTTGATTAAGAAGCCATTGAAATATACTTTTCAAGCCCTGATTTAATTGCTATTACTGATGATTCTTTCAGTAATCATGAAAAAACCGATTTTCTCTTTCAAATCGCATAAACAATGTGCTGTAACTCAACAACGAATTGTGCGACCCCCATCATATTCTGATAGAATCAAGAGGGTATTGTTATCAATTTTTTGAGCCATGACTAATTCCATTTTGATGACAATTTTTTGAGTGATCGTTGAAAAATCAATTTTTGGAAAAACATCAGTTTTTTAGAATCTTTGTGAAAAATTGAATTTCAATTGGTGTCAATGAGTAGAGCTTATTCAAGTCTATATTCATGAAAAAATTAAGAAAAAAGACCACACATATAAGTCTACACATACACCATCTAAAAATCACATATTCCGACTTTTTAAGCCATATTTTATTACCCTAGCACAGAAAATTGGAAATTTAAATTCAAGTGATTTCAAAGCGTCTGTTAGGAAGCAAAAATAATTTATTTCACGTTAAAAAAAATTCTAGCCTTTCAAAATCTAGAGACTCTTCTCGAAAACTCGATCACTGACGTCAGACGAGCTCTCGTCATTGGTCACTCCAAGAACTTCACCAACAGTCACCCCCAATCCCAGATTGACAAAGAATTGCCCCAGAGATTCACAAGGAAATAATTATTACCTATTACTTGTGCCTCCAAACCGATGAATAAGAGATGAAATTCGCTAGAACCCGACGATCCCTGAACCACTCGGTATTTCATCTAAAAATAATCCTGTACTACCCCTCATAATACCAGAGTTCCATAGGAAAATCGAATGTTGCGCGCCTGCGCCATTACCGACCTCGTTTTTATTAGAGCGAACGCAGCCATTGATACCAATACAACAATACCCGGAGTTAAGGCCCGGGTGTACTATCTTTCGAACGTTATCTCGATGTTTTTTTTTCATCTTTCGTCATCTGAAATTGTCAATTGAGTCAAGTTTTGAAAAATTATGAATGAATAATAAAAAAAAAGTAGAAAAAATTCTTAATTTTTTCAAAGACCATTTTTAATTTATATTCAGAATAAGTTGAATAACAAGAAATTGAAAAATGTATGTGATTTACGGTGACAAATGGCGGCTTGTCATCCAATATCATGCAGGGGGAAGACTGATTTCGTAAATCTTTTCCCACACTGCACAGAGACATTTATTACGGAAAAGGCTCTTTGAAAAAAGTTGTAATATTTTGGAGAATTTTTTAATCACACTTTTATCACATAAAAATGACAGATGACTACGTACCACTGTTTTGAAAATTGAGATACCTAGCTGTCACTTCCCATGAGGAGTTAGTGTTTTGTTATCCACCATGGAAAATGACAGCTAATAGATAATTTGCCACAGCGAATCAGATATTTGTAATTTACACTTTTTTCAACTCATTCTGAATCTCAATTAAAAACGCTCTTTGAAAAAGTTCAGAATTTTTTCTATTTTTTTTATCATTCTATCATAATTTTTGGGAATTTCCACATGATGTACCACTCAATTGACAATTTTGGATTACGAAAGATAAAGAAAATCCAGAAAACATTCGAAAGTTAGTACACCCGGAGTTGAATACCCATTTTCCATGAAATTCTCGTTCATTCATAATGTACCGACACCCTCGGAGTTGTTAGTCATTTTTAGGGGGGAGGGAGTCGGTCTTGGGAGGGGGAAGTCGTAAATGTCAATCAGGATTAAACGAATTGTCTGGGAATTTTGATTTAAGGCTGGGGGTCGGCGGGGTCGAGCCAATTTCTACCTGAATTCGGGTGAATTCGTGACTCTAAAGTCGACAATTTACAGAATTTAATGGAATGAGACTGTAGTTGGAATTTTTGCGTCCATTTCAGCAATTTTCTTGTTGGAAATTGAGGTATATCCCCAGCAAACAGGTTTTTCTCGCGATTGTCCCCGTGTTTTTCATAAATAATGTTTCTAATATTTCTCAGATTATTCTCAGATATTTTAAAAAAATTTTAACTAGCTGTACAACAGGGATTATGGGTCTCTCCGTACTCGAAAATTTTATAGTACATAGTTTTTGTTGTATTCAATTCTAAACAAGTGAGAAATTGCTTTTGTGTTGCATATAGTATAGTTATTTTTACTAATAAAAATTATCACTATGCTTCCGAATAATTCATTGCTTATTCATTTTATTAGATTGAATAAGATTTCTTTTCGACTAATTTTGTCAGATTTTCATCTTCGTTGAGTGTTACCATCATCATTATTCTTATTATCCCTTTCTTCTATACAACCGATTGGCTTTTTTACGGTTCTATCTCTCCCCTCAGCCCTTCGATAAAATGTTAATAGAAAAATTTTATTTACACATACTTGAATGAATTTGAAACATCACATTTGACGAAACCACCAGAAAGCTCACATTCAGGGAAATTCATGAAAAATTCCATATTTTCAACAATCATCATGAAAATCAAATCAACCAATACAGCTATTATTCAATCAATTCAGAACAATTTTTTTACTTATCGTGGGACAACCGATTTTCGAAAAAAATCGAAAATTTAAAAAACTAATCGATGAATCTCGTGAAATCATTTTTTATTTGATTCGAACAGTTATTGTTGTCTTCATCAATAACACATGAGAATAGAAATACTCAATAGGTTATGAGAATGAAATAAATTAAGTTATGTAGAATTTTTTCCAGAAATCCATAAAGACTGACTGTTGGGTACTATTGTCTTGGCATAAATGATTTATTCCTCCAAAATGAAGGTCCAAATAAAGAATTTCATTTATTATGGAACGAATGCAGCCATTCACACCGATACAAGAATAACCCGAATGAATTGCCCATTTTCCATGAATTGCTCGTGCATTCATAATGCACCCGACACCCTCAGGCATAGTTGTTAGTCATTATTGCGGGAACTGCGTCGGTTTCCGAACTGGGGAGTCGCAAATGTCAATCGGGATTGAATGAATTTTCTGAGAATTTTGGTTTATGAGGGGGTCGACAGGGTCAGGCCAATTTCTACCTGCATCTGCGTGAATTCATGACTCGAATGTCGACAATGTATAAAATTTAATGGAATGAGGCTATAGTTGAAGGCATTTTCAACCATATTTTTGGTGGAGAATGTCTTAATTTTATGAATGAATGAAAGAATCCGCTAGAATCCGATATAATCCCATCTTTTATCTCTCCCAAATTTAAAGATTATGTTGAAAAAAAATTAATAAACATCAAATAAATTTTGTTTATTCCATCAGTTTTTTTAGTACGTCTCCAGGACCAAACGGGATATCCAAAGTATTTTGAAAACATTTTTATACAAAGTTTCAAAAGCTCCGAAAAATCATCAACAATCCCTCTTGAATTCAGAAACATTTACAACAAAAAACAAGACAAATATTTTCATATATTTCCATCAGTTTTTTTAATGCATCTCATAATCCAATCAAGATACCAAATTGTTATATCAACATTTTTCATCCAAAATCCCAAGAGCTAAAAAAAATCTTCACAAAAATAGTTCCATCTCTCCCAACTTTTACGATTATTTCCAAAAAAAACAATATTAAAAAACATATCTACCCAAAATTAGAAAAGCTCCAAAAAGTCGTGAACCATCAGTTTTTCAAATGTATCTCAAAATCCAATCAAGATAACAAAATTGTTACTTCAACATTTTTCATCCAAAATCCCAAGAGCTAAAAAAAATCCTCACAAAAATTGTTCCATCTCTCCCAAATGTTAAGATTATTTCCAAAAAAACAATATTAAAAAACATTTCTACCCAAAATTTGAAAAGCTCCAAAAAGTCGTGAACCATCAGTTTTTCAAATATATCTCAAAATCCAATCAAAATATCAAAATTGTTATTTCAACATTTTTCATCCAAAATCCCAAGAGCTAAAAAAAATCCTCACAAAAATTGTTCCATCTCTCCCAAATGTTAAGATTATTTCCAAAAAAACAATATTAAAAAACATTTCTACCCAAAATTTGAAAAGCTCCAAAAAGTCGTGAACCATCAGTTTTTCAAATATATCTCAAAATCCAATCAAGATACCAAAATCGTTACATCAACATTTTTCGTCCAAAATTACAAAAGCTACAAGGAACTTCAAACTCCCCCCCCCCCAAATCCCAGGACACTCCAAAACTTCAAGCGAGTGCCATTGAACCCCTCACACTAACCTCGTCTCCTTGATCTTCTCATAAAACGGATCGAACTGTACAGTAATCGTCTTGACAGGCTTTAAGCTCATCATCTTGAGCTGCTTGCTGATTGCAGCAAGTGCCGTCGCACCTCGCCCGATCCTTCCAGTGAACGGAACCGACATTTTCGGAAAAAATTCCAAGGAAAACCAAGGAAATTCAACTTTTCCACACGCAACACTAGTTGTCCGGTTCCTGCGTTGCACTTGAACGCTCTGAAGTTGTTCTAAAGACAGTTCCACCAACTGTTCAATCCGAAATTATCTCCGTGCGTCAGTGAACGCATTCATCCCAGTGCCGTACCCAGGAACGGTCTCCTCCCCCCGCCCGTCGATCTGTTCCACATCAATTTATTCATTGAATTTCATTTCATTATTTTAATTTATTTATTTTTTATTCATTTTTTTTATTTAATTAAAAAAAAATTAATTTCAATTGAATTATTTCTGTTATTATAAGGATCAGAGGGTTTACGAGATTTGCACATGAGTTTCCGAGAATTTTACAATCTTTTTTATTATTTAAAACTTTACTTAAGGGGAAACCGAACCCCTGCGTTTATATGAATCTTTAGAATTGGGTTTTCTCCTGCAATTCTTATTTTTTATTCATTACACTACTTCATTGACTCAACAATGCGATAATCGAGTCGATAAAGTAATTTCATAAATAGAAATTATTAATTGTAGGAGAAAACATAATTCTAAGATTTGATGTAGACAAAGTGGTTCTGTCTCCCCTTAAGGTGGAACGGAACCCTTGTGACTATATGAACATTTAGAATTGTGATTTATCCTGCGATGATTATTTTTTACTAGGGGGCTACGCCCCTTGCTCGCTCCGCTCGCCAACCCCGGGGGGGCTTTGCCCCCCTCCCGCTCGCTTCGCTCGCTCCCCCCTCCCGGTGTGACCGGGAGGGTTCTTCCGATAGCTCTATACATACTTTACCATAAGAGACCACATACGTATATTTTTTTATTTATGAAACTACTTCATTGACCCAACAATGCAATGATCAAGTCGATAAAGTAATTGCATAGAAATAAAGTAATAATTGTAGGAGAAAACGCAAGTAAAAAAAGTCAAATAAACACAGGGGCTGCGTTTCCCCTTAAAATAGTATGATCACTTTCCAAAGTGATCGTTGATGGTCCGTCAAGAAAATCTAAAAAAATTAATCAAAAAACTATGATTTATAATTGAAAATTCTCTTTGTGAATTATAAAATTTATAAATATAAGAATTAATCTATTATTTTTATTATTTTTCACTTATTAGTCAAATAATGTACCTCCTTTGACTAGCGTCGTTTTGTGTGTGGCAACGCTGTAACTTAAAAGCGTCGGGAAAACGAGATTTGAAATGCCCGCTTGTCACCACTCTACTAACGCGTCGTTGCCGCATCTACTCGACACGCAATTTCCGAACACCGAGCAGCAGAAATTATTTATAACTAAAGTCCCAAACGGTCAATAATTTTCATCGATGGTCGTAAATTTTTTTTTCCCATTTTTTGGTAGGGAAGGTTGGGGTAAAATGGACACTTTTGACTTTTTTTCAAATATTAATAACAGCTTGAAATGTTGATGAAATTCAATAGTTTTTCTTCAATGCAAAGAACATTTCTTTCCCTTTGTAATGAGCCTAAACTGAGCTCAATTGATGAATTTGTTTCTGAGTTATGAGTAATTAAAAAAAAGTCCAGTGTCCATTTTACCCCATCCTCCCCTATTTTTTTTAATAATTTAATCTTGGATTATCATAAAAACCACTCAAAAACGTGATTTGCCCATAAGACTCTGTGTTAACATCTAGTTTTTCATTAATTCTTATCAACCATATTAAACGATCAAAGTACCACAAATTGCACCAGGAGGTGTTTATTGATATTAACTTTCACAAAAAAATTATTTCATATTTTAATTTTGGAAATGGATCCGTGACCATACTACTTTAAGGGGTCTCCTCAGTAGGGCAAAACGGGGATAGGCGCGCGGGTGAGTGGAGCGTAAAATGGTTAAGTTAGTGAGGTTATTTTCGAGAGAGACGAAACATCAAACAAAGCGTGCGTTGGATAGTGACAGACATCACGCCAATTACGTTTATCGTTAATTTATTCAACAAATTACTGGCAAAACTCGATGAGACTTCATTCCCTTATTTTTGAGAGTTTAATATAAATTAATATAGCTTCCTTTGTTGGCTAACACATTGTCAACAGGGTGAGGGGTAAAGGACAAAATTTCGTTCCTAAAGCCCATGTATAAGCAGAAATTCGAATGATTAATTGAAAACGAATGAAACGATAAAACTACTCAGTTTTTTTACAATTTTCCTTTTACCATTTTTGATTATTATATTACATATTCAATTCGCTAGCACATTGTCGTTTTGTGGCGAAAATTATTGAGGAGACCCCTTAAGTATCATCATCGCCTCAACCTAGAAAACAAAAATGGGGAGAAAACCGCGCTAGTCCCATCCCTGTCCGAAGCCCCCTGCGATTGGCGGTACCGCAGCCAACGAGAGTTCGCCTGAGTGTCAGCCATTGCAAGCAGAGTCTCTCTACCTCTGGGTGACTCTCAGCACCAGGCCAGTGTGTGTTTTGCGGGGAAGTGTTGTGCGGGGCCAAAGTGGGATAATTTCCTTTCAGTTAAATTATCCATTCGTTTTAATTTTCCATTAATTAGTGATACAAAATCATCATAATTGCCGTCATATAATCAACGACAATGTATCCCGTAGGCCAGCGTAAGTCTCATTGCACCTTAAAACCACTGAAGTGGTGCATGCGAGGGCGATGGATTGAATTTTTACGTTGAGAATAAAAACACAATGAATTGGAAACACTCGCGGGGTGTTGGGGAGGGGAATGGAGTAGATGGTTGCCACTGGGCTCGTCTAGGCGAGTCTAGAATCACGACCAAACGATTTTTTTTCAACAATGTTCGAGCCCTTTGTTCACTGGGCTGCATCTGCCCTCGTTTTCCCACTCATTTTTGACCATTTTTCCGAACAACTTTGCATTTCACTGCGTCGCGCAGGGAAAATGAAAATGGATGAATGAAATAGGGCGAACACGGGGGAGTTGGTGAATTCTGGGGAGAATGACCCTCGATGAACCCTGTGCATGCTCAACAGGCGGAGACTACTCTGTTGATCGGATTTTCCGTCGATTACCTATTCAAATTTGGTCTGAGGGGTGTTCGCTTTTTGGTGGACGTGACGAATGGAGCGAGTGGGAATTCCGGAGGTTCTGGGGCTCTCGGATTTTGGAATTATTATTTATCTGGGAACACGCGGGTGCGCGGGGAGGGGAGGGCGATGTGTGAGTAATAGTCATCATGGGAAATTATGGACAGCGTGGCTGACGGTGAGACACGTGAATCGATGGGATTCTTACGGGAATTTTGGGGGTTTTGGATTTTTGGAGATGGGGCGAGGTGGGGGATTTTTGTTTTGGTTGAGGTGTTTGGTTTATTTTGGGTGACAGATGAGGGGATTAGGTGATTGGTGGGGGAGGGGGTTAATGAGGATGATAATAGGGTTGAAGGGTTATTTTTAGTTTCAGGAGAAATGCACTGAAATTTTTTTGCTAAATTTCTGACAATTTTTTTGAGGAATGACAGCTCTGCTGGAATTGCAAGGATTTTTGTCATTCACAAAATTCACAATTTGATGAATTTGATTGATTGAAACGTTGATAAAAATTGATAAACATTGATAGAAATTGTAAGTTTTAGTTCGGTTATTGCATGAAAGTTGAGAGAATTGAGAAAATTTGGATGAGAACATTATTAAATGTTGAATTCATTGAAAATTCAGGTCGATTTGGTACGAAATATTGAGTTTTTGATCGGAAATTCAAGTAAAAAGCGGAGCTGTCCTCTCCCTACTGTTCAAAATTTTGGAATTCCATTGAATTTGCAATGAAATTTGAAGTTTATTGCAGGTAATAGTCATCATGGGAAATTATGGACAGCGTGTCTGATGGTGAAACACGTGAATCGATAGGAGTCTTATGGGAATTTTGGGGGTTTTGGATTTTTGAAGGTGGGGCGAGGTGGGGGGTTTTTGTTTTGGTTGAGGTGTTTGGTTTATTTTGGGTGACAGATGAGGGGATTAGGTGATTGGTGGGGGAGGGGGTTAATGAGGATGATAATAGGGTTGAAGGGTTATTTTTAGTTTCAGGAGAAATGCACTGAAATTTTTTTGCTAAATTTCTGACAATTTTTTTGAGGAATGACAGCTCTGCTGGAATTGCAAGGATTTTTGTCATTCACAAAATTCACAATTTGATGAATTTGATTGATTGAAACGTTGATAAAAATTGATAAACATTGATAGAAATTGTAAGTTTTAGTTCGGTTATTGCATGAAAGTTGAGAGAATTGAGAAAATTTGGATGAGAACATTATTAAATGTTGAATTCATCGAAAATTCAAGTCGATTTGGTACGAAATATTGAGTTTTTGATCGGAAATTCAAGTAAAAAGCGGAGTTGTCCTCTCCCTACTGTTAAAAATTTTGGGATTCCATTGAATTCGCAATGAAATTTGAAATTTATTGCAGGTAATGTAAATGCACTGAATTTTTTTTGCTAAATTTCTAATAATTTTTTGGGGATTTTCAAGGAGCGACCGTTCTGCTGCAATTGCAAGGATTTTTGTCATTGAAAATTCACAATTTTATGAAAAAAATGATAGAATATTGTAAATTTTAGTTTAGTTATTCCATGAAAGTTAACAGAATTAAAAAATTTTCGATGAATATTTTCTTAAATCTTTAATTCATTGAAAATTCAGGTCAATTTGATACGAAATATTTAGTTTTTGAGTGAAAATTCAAGTAACAAATGGAGTCATCTTCTTCCTACTGTTCAGAGCTTTGGAATTCCGTTGCATTTGCATTAAAATAAGACATTTATTGCAACTAATAGTCATTTTTAATTGACAGATAGGGGGACTAGGTAATGGATAGAGGTTTAATGAGGGTGTGATAATGGGGTTGAAGAGTTATTTTTAGGCCTTTCGTTGGGTGGAGGACGTAAATTTCTGATAATTTTTTTGGAAATTTTTGGCGAATGACAGTTCTGCTGGAATTTCAAGGAATTCCGTCACTGAAAATTCCCAAAAAAACTGTTAATTTCAGTTTAGTTATTCCCAAAAACTTAACAGAATTAAGCAAATTTAGATGAATATATTCTGGAATCGTTAATTCATTGAAAATTCAGGTCAGTTTGGTATGATCTCTCCTACATAATTCACCAATTATCAGAATCCTCTTTTATTACCTCAAATAAACCAAAAAAATTCGTCCCTTCCAATGAATTCATTTTTCCCCGGAACGTTCAGATTTACATAAAAAACTCTCAAGATTATCTCCCTCTCCCCCCCGCCCCCCTCTTATAATTCCATTTGTCTGACCCCATTAACAATTATATAAATAAAAAATCTATTATTTTAGCTCCCCCACCGGGGCCCACAACAAGTACAGCGGTGGGTGCAGCGAGTGCAGCAGGAAGCAGTGTCGTTGCCTCCGGCGCCCTGGGAGTAGTTCCTGCGCAGACACACACGCCGCCTCAGCCTCCAGAACTGCCAGGTAGCTCAATAATAAACAAAAAAACAAAAACAAATAAAACAAAACGTAAAAATAAACATGCACACGAGAAGAGTTTCTATTTTTCAGAAAAAATATGACTCAGTAAATGTGAATTGAATATGAATTAAATTAAATGGCTGAACTTTAAGGATATTCAAGTATCTTTTACAGTTTGGTAGAGACTACGCTACAGATTCGACCATTAAATTGCCATTCAATCATAGTAATAAGAATAATTTTATTTCGATGTATGGCTCTCCATTCAATCATTTAATTTGTCAATTGAATTGCGTAAGAATTTTTTTTTCTAAATAATGAATTTTCAGTATTATTCAAATTAAATTTTGCACAGAATTATCTTTTTTTAACATTCGTTGTTTATAAATAAATATTTGAAATTGTTTAAACTTTCGGAAATTTTATGTCTTTAGCATGAAATCGAATTCTAGTAAAATTCTGAACATGAATGAATTTGTTACGAACAAATGATTTTTAAGGTGGAAAATGTATTGTTTATAAATTATAAAAAATACTCGTAATTTTGGAAAATGGCAATTTTTAAAATATTTCATCAATCTTCTTCCAAAAGTAAACATTCTAATGTTTTTCAGATTAAAAAAATGTTTTTTAACAGAGCTGCAATGTTTAAATACTGAAATTACTATAAAATATCCGGAAATTTCGCGTCAAATGGGTTTCAAATGGAAGCCATTTTATTCCACTAGAAAAGTAGAAAAACATTTCATTGGAGAAAAAATAGTCGATATCGTTAATTAATCAGTTTCTTACTCTGAGTACGATGCCTTCTAGAACCACGAGTTTCATAAATGCCGTATCCTTTTTCTGGAAACTAGAAATCTTTTTTCTCTGTGCACTACTGAATACCAATGATACTAATTATTATTAATGACTAACAATTGTTACAGTGTTCTCATGTCCTCGAAGGCCAAACATTGGGCGCGAGGGTCGGGCGATTGGCTTGAGAGCGAATCACTTTCAAATAACAATGCCACGTGGCTATGTACACCATTATGACATTAACATACAGCCAGACAAGTGTCCACGTAAAGTCAATCGCGAGATCATCGAGACAATGGTACACGCTTACAGTAAAATATTTGGAACTCTCAAGCCTGTGTTCGATGGCAGAAATAATTTGTACACAAGAGATCCATTGCCAATTGGTAATGATAAGTTAGAATTAGAGGTGAGTAAGTTTGTTCTTTCATCTCGTAACGATTGACATTTTTTGTTAAAACTTCATTAACGAGATTAATTCATAATTTTGTTAATGCCGAGATTTTACTCGATTTTTTAAAGTCATCCCTGAATTAAATGAATGAAACTCGTGAAATGATTGGTTTTAGAGCTGAATATTAGGAGATCTGTTTTTGTAGATAATTTATGAACTTTTCTCACTCGTTAAGGCGAAGAACTCATAATTGAAAAAAGCTCTTTCCTTCAATTTATTCAATTAAATCATTGAATTTGGAAATTGAGTAACGAGTTGTTCCATGAGGAGATATCGACAGACATTTGTTGAGACTGAAGAAAATTCTCTCCTGGAAATGCCTTCTGACATTTTTCATTGAAACTCATCAGAAAGATAATTTAGAAATCAATGGACTGAATTTTATAAATCACTACAGATTGAATAGAGTATTATGTTCAAACTGTCAATTCTTTCTTATCTACAATTTTATTACAATTATTTTTGTAATGGGTTTTTTCAGGACAAAAAAATGTCTCTTAAAAAATGTATAATTAAGTAAAAAGAAAGAGCAAGAGTTTGAATTTCATGATCATCTTTACAACGAGAAAATGTCCCCAGCCATTTTTTCTCCCATGAAATTCTCTTTAAAAAATCCTCATTCAATAATTCCTCATTACAACAGTTCAGCAATTACCAAAATTCCCATGCATCATCTCACCAAAAAGAAGAGAATCCATCTCTTCAATTGAATTCCTCCAACAAATCAATCTCCACTACAAAATTATCTTCTCAACAGGTAATACTGCCTGGTGAGGGTAAAGACAGAGTGTTTCGTGTGGCAATAAAATGGCTGGCGCAAGTCTCCCTGTACGCCCTGGAGGAAGCCCTGGAGGGACGAACCCGACAGATTCCTTACGACGCAATCCTAGCACTGGACGTTGTCATGAGACATTTGCCCTCAATGACGTACACCCCAGTTGGCAGATCCTTCTTCAGCACTCCAGACGGTTACTACCATCCCCTGGGTGGTGGCAGAGAGGTTTGGTTTGGTTTTCATCAGTCTGTTCGGCCCTCCCAATGGAAAATGATGCTCAACATCGATGTCTCAGCAACAGCATTCTACAAAGCCCAACCAGTTATTGAATTCATGTGTGAAGTACTCGACATTCGAGACGTCAATGAGCAGAGAAAACCACTGACAGACTCGCAGAGAGTGAAATTTACCAAAGAAATCAAGGGCCTGAAGATCGAGATCACTCACTGTGGCACCATGAGACGAAAATATCGTGTTTGCAATGTTACGAGAAAACCAGCCCAGATGCAGTCATTTCCACTGCAATTGGAGAATGGCCAGACTGTTGAGTGCACTGTTGCCAAGTACTTTTTAGATAAATACAAAATGAAATTACGTTATCCTCATCTACCGTGCCTTCAAGTTGGTCAGGAGCATAAGCACACTTATCTGCCACTAGAGGTGTGCAATATTGTTGCAGGTCAGCGTTGTATCAAAAAATTGACTGATATGCAGACATCGACGATGATCAAGGCAACAGCGAGATCAGCTCCAGATCGAGAGAGAGAAATTAACAATTTAGTGAGAAGAGCTGATTTCAATAATGACTCGTACGTCCAAGAATTTGGATTGACAATATCCAACAGTATGATGGAGGTGCGTGGAAGAGTACTGCCACCACCCAAATTGCAGTACGGGGGGAGAGTGAGTTCCCTGAGTGGACAGACAAAACAGCAGGCACTGCCCAATCAAGGGGTTTGGGATATGCGTGGAAAGCAATTTTACACTGGAGTGGAAATTCGAGTGTGGGCTATTGCCTGTTTTGCACCTCAGAGGACTGTCAGGGAGGATGCGCTGAGAACATTCACTTCACAGCTGCAGAAGATCAGCAATGATGCTGGAATGCCCATAATTGGACAGCCATGCTTCTGCAAGTACGCAACTGGACCTGATCAGGTTGAGCCCATGTTTCGGTATTTGAAGTCCACTTTCCAGGCTCTGCAGCTTGTCTGCGTGGTTTTACCTGGAAAGACACCAGTTTACGCTGAAGTGAAACGAGTGGGTGACACCCTCCTGGGCATGGCGACTCAGTGTGTCCAAGCGAAGAACGTCAACAAGACGTCTCCCCAGACCCTCTCGAATCTCTGTCTGAAGATAAACGTCAAGCTCGGTGGAATAAACAGTATCCTAGTGCCAAGTATAAGGCCCAAAGTCTTCAACGAACCAGTGATATTCCTCGGCGCTGACGTGACCCATCCACCAGCTGGTGACAACAAAAAGCCGAGCATAGCAGCTGTTGTTGGTAGTGTCGATGCTCATCCATCTCGTTATGCTGCCACTGTTCGAGTGCAGCAGCACAGGCAGGAGATCATTCAGGAGTTGAGTTCAATGGTCAGAGAATTGTTGATCATGTTCTACAAGAGCACGGGGGGATACAAGCCCCACAGGATCATTCTTTATCGCGATGGGGTCTCGGAGGGACAGTTCCTTCATGTTCTTCAGCATGAACTCACCGCCATTCGAGAGGCTTGCATCAAACTCGAGGCTGATTACAAACCTGGTATCACGTTTATTGTCGTTCAGAAGAGGCATCACACGAGACTATTCTGCGCTGATAAGAAGGAGCAGAGTGGAAAGAGTGGAAATATACCTGCTGGCACAACTGTCGATGTCTGCATTACACATCCCACTGAGTTTGATTTCTATCTGTGCAGTCATCAGGGTATTCAGGTGCGTTCAGGGGACATTTCGCTTGTTTAAGGCCCAGCTCTATGCTGAGAGAAAAACAAAAGTTCTCAAGGAAGTTTTACTTGCCCCAAGAAAATAGTTTTTGAAAATTATCATAAAAGGATTTTTTTGTGCCAAACATGCGGAGAGTGCGCTGGAATGAAAAATTTTTCGTCGCAAAAATAGATTTAGTAGTTCAAAGAAAATTGCATTCTCTGTACACGCAAGAAATGTCATTTCTAGCACCACTCCTTCGTTATTCGATACTCCCATACGTATTTTGCTCCCGAAAAATCTTTGTTTTATGCGAAACAAGGGATGGTAGTTTTTCGTTTCGGCTGTGTAATAATCACAGACAAGAAATGAACACTTAAATGAAACAATAATAATGATATGATAGCAATCTTGTAGCTTATGGATAAAATATTTGTTGATAAATTTTCCTCTGTATGAGATATTTTCATCCTGAAAAGGCACCGTCTCAATTTTCAACTAGCGATTTTATTGGCCCAAACAAAACTTGTTTGACAACGTGTTTGTTTTTCTCTCCGTGCATTAGCCGCCGAGCGTTATCTAGATTGCCTTTTTTGTTCGATTTTTATTTCGAAATTTATGAATTTTGCTCAGGAAGATGAGAATTACTCAACTTACTTGAATTTTCAGTGAAAATATAAATATTAGTAGCATATTATACTGAGTCTTCGATTACTAGAAAATTCATGAATATATTCAGTAGAATTTCCCTGATTTCTATCAATTTTCATGAAATAATTTCATTGAAAATTACAGTTTCTATTGATTTTTTCCTAAAATTATGAATTTTCTATTAAAAAATTTCATGAAATTTCAATAGAACTACTATGTGATGAAAAATTCCAATAAGTTTATCGAAAATTTCAATCACAATATTGAATAGACATTCTTAGGAAGAATTTAATTCGATTTAATTTAATTTTGAGATAATTTACTTTAAGGTAATTGAAGAAATAAACAGATGGAAGAAATTTATGTTCAATTTTTATCATTCTATCATTATAGGGAACGTCGAGACCATCTCACTATCACGTACTGTGGGACGACAATCACTTCGAGAGCGACGAACTCCAGTGTTTGACTTATCAACTTTGCCACACGTACGTCAGATGTACCAGATCAGTTAGTATACCAGCTCCAGCTTATTACGCTCATCTCGTTGCATTCCGGGCGAGGTATCATTTAGTCGAGAAGGAACATGACAGGTAAATAATCTCTAATCTATTCAATTGAATGACCTGAAAGAATTGATAACAGTTAATTCATTTTAAAAACAGGACAAAAGTTGAAATATTGTAGTAAACTTTTTCACCCTTAAAGATCGATCATATGTGTATGAAAACGAAGAATTAGTCCAAAAACACCAATTGTTTACTCGTTTGCCTTCCAGGCGCTTAAAATGGAAAAAACAGTCTAATGTACTCAATTTCTGAAGTTTTTTTTTTTTTTTTTTTTTTTTTTTTTTTTTTTTTTTTTTTTTTTTTTTTTTTTTTTTTTTTTTTTTTTTTTTTTTTTTTTTTTTTTTTTTTTTTTTTTTTTTTTTTTTTTTTTTTTTTTTTTTTTTTTTTTTTTTTTTTTTTTTTTTTTTTTTTTTTTTTTTTTTTTTTTTTTTTTTTTTTTTTTTTTTTTTTTTTTTTTTTTTTTTTTTTTTTTTTTTTTTTTTTTTTTTTTTTTTTTTTTTTTTTTTTTTTTTTTTTTTTTTTTTTTTTTTTTTTTTTTTTTTTTTTTTTTTTTTTTTTTTTTTTTTTTTTTTTTTTTTTTTTTTTTTTTTTTTTTTTTTTTTTTTTTTTTTTTTTTTTTTTTTTTTTTTTTTTTTTTTTTTTTTTTTTTTTTTTTTTTTTTTTTTTTTTTTTTTTTTTTTTTTTTTTTTTTTTTTTTTTTTTTTTTTTTTTTTTTTTTTTTTTTTTTTTTTTTTTTTTTTTTTTTTTTTTTTTTTTTTTTTTTTTTTTTTTTTTTTTTTTTTTTTTTTTTTTTTTTTTTTTTTTTTTTTTTTTTTTTTTTTTTTTTTTTTTTTTTTTTTTTTTTTTTTTCAAATGAAAAACGTGCCATATTCATGCGAAACAACCAGATATGTGGAAAGAAAATTTCGTTTATTTTTCTAATAAATAGTGTGATTTTTGAAAATTCAAACAAAAACCAAATTGTCGACTTGAAGGTCGATTTCGAAAAAAATAATTTGTAATTATTCTATACATTCTTTGACAAACTTTGAAGCAAAAAAAATTCTCAGTACAATAAACAATTTATTTTTTTGCATCAATTCTTCATTTTTATACACATTCAATCCATCTTCAACGTTTTAAATTTATTTTTCCTCGTTACACTCAACCACTTACGTAGAGTTTGGATATACTACTTCAAATCGTAATAATTCTAAGGATAATTTCCAAAACATCTCAAAAGACCGTAGCTGTAGCAAAAAAGAAACCTTTTTTTTCATCCCCAAAATTTCTAAATCCATTTTCATCGAGCAATAGCTGATAATTACAATTTTTTCGTTTCAGTGGTGAAGGAAGTCACCAATCAGGCTGCAGTGAGGACAGAACGCCGGGTGCAATGGCCCGTGCAATAACTGTACACGCCGATACAAAGCGAGTAATGTACTTTGCGTAATTCCATTCACCAGACATTTGACATTTGAACATTTTTCAAAAAGGGTGTGAAAGAGTGTTTTTAAAAACAAAGCCAATGTGTCAAAGAATAATGAATTTAACAGTGCACAGTGCCGAAGCCCTCAGCCCATTGCGCATAACCAAAACAATTAATTAAAAAAAAGAAACAAAGAAAGAATTATTACGTCATATCTCGAGGAGGAGGAGGGGTGAGAATAATGCTGAATGAAAAATGTCTAGAACTCTCGTTAGATTTATAATTGGACAATCTTCTTCGGTGGCCAATTTTTTTATTTATCATTTTTACCAGCTGTTCTGGAGAAAAAAATTGATAAAGACTCTGCCGCATTTAAAATGTGGTACAATTTTATAGAAAAATTGATCCAAAAACCGTCAAGAAGGTGCTTATAGTTAATCATGTTTTTAGATTTAGATTTAAGAATATTTTTCTGAGGGACGACAAGAACACAATTAGCTCTGGTTAACGCTGATCTCGACCAATTATCTTCCTTAAAAATAATATTCATGAATTGAAAAATTTTAAAACCCTGAACATTGGTTGCTTCGTGGATGATGAAAAAGATTGAATGATTACGCTTATTTTCTGCCTTGTTTATTAATTATAATAATTTTCTTTCCATCTTCAGGATCTCAATGAATTCGATGTTGAGATTGTCATTACCAAAATATTATTTAACATGAATTTATGATGTATATAGGGGAATTTTCATTTGCACGATTTATCAAAAAAAATGATGAAGCATTAAAAGTTTAAGATTAAAGTCGATAGTTGATGGGTTATGCTGAAAAATTGGCCACCAAGTTGCGAGTTCAGTGACGTGGCTTTTGGTAAAATACAAGAGAAATAAATCATTTATAAATTCACCATCAAAACAGATAATTTAACTTTGAATAGTTCCGGTTCTGTTTTGATGTTGCTAAATATGTTTTATACAAATGGAGTAATTGAAAATTGTATTCGTCAGTCCGAATCTAATGTCAAACGTTTAAAATAAAACCCAGGCTTTAAATAATCGTCCAAGGAGTTGTCCCACAGTTGAAAAAAAAATCACTTCTCATTTAGGATTTCTCAGAACAGGATTTTTTTTATCAGTAAATTATTTCACTTTACTTGATACTTTGGGGATGGTGTTCTTGGACGAAACTTTGGAAAGCGAATTACGCTTAGTTGGGATTGAGGAGAGAATTTTGACGCTTAATAGAGACAACACTTTGTAGTGATGGGGAAAAAAGAGAAAATAATGCGGAAGTGTTGAGTTTTTATTCGAAATGGAATTACGATGGATTGCGCTATTGCATTAGGAACTTAAGTTTTCTGTAGAATTTAGGGTTATTATTGTCACATTGCTTTATGTGAGTGGGTTGAGAACCTGATAAAAAGAATAAATTTAATTGAATGCCCTGGAGTGAAGTGGGAAAACGTAACGGAAGGAGTGGATTTTTTATGTTACATTATCCTGATAACGAGGGGTTTTAGAAAAAAATGTCATAAGACATTTTTGTCGGAAATTTTATGCTCTTAAAAACATGTCTGAAGACATTTTATCGTAAATTCACTCGTTACTCGAATAATTACCTGTTTAACAAAAGTGAAAACTCATTTTTCATCGCAGAAATAATTGATTTTCTGTTAATTAATGCATTTATCTCGGTAACGAGTGATTATGGGGGGAAATGTGAGGAGACATTTCTTGTAGGAAATTTTATTCGCTACAAAAAAGTTCTAGAGACATTTTCCCCTAGAACCGCTCGTTACTGAGAGAAACCCATTTTAGTAATCTCGAAAGACTTGAAATTTCTTCTGTTACGTTTTACTACTTGAATGCTTAATCACTAGAGATTTTAATTATCTCAAATTTAAGTGAATTCTTTGATAACTCTCTTCGGGACGTATTTATCAAGACAAAAATGTATAATTCTTCAGTGGCATTAGATCTGGGCCGACGTGAGTCCCGGATTAATGAAAGAAAATGCCCAATCAATGCAACAAATTTATCTACTAATTGTCGAAATAATTAAATACATGAAATCGTAAGAGGATGTATGATAATCGTAGGTAAAACTCAGAGAAAAAAAATTCGTAAAACAGCAAAAAAAAATTATGCCCGAATCGGTGAGGGGCGGATTAACAATGATTTAAGTACGAATCGAATTCTCTAGGTTTAGTTAACTAAAACACCATCACACCAATTATTAAAGATGGGAGAAAATATTTTAAAAAGTGAGAATTGGCGGATTTCAGTAATGGGCAACTAGACATTAGCATCAGAATTCACTGGTTAGTTAGTTGAATGGTTGATTAATTCATTAATTTTCACTGTTTGGCTGTCGCACACGTTTTAATGCCAATTATTTCTTCCATTGAATTTTCTTTGTTTTTGCTGTCTTTTGGAATCTTTAATACATAAGTGGAGAGATGAAGAGGGAATAACAATCACCCCAAACTGATTGAATTATTATTGAAAACAAAACACTTCGTTTTTCATTATTTAGGTAATTATCTTAATAATGAGTCATTTCAGATAAAAATTGAGAGATTTTATTCAGAAATTTTTTATCTAAAGGAAATTTTTTCTGACATTTTTCTCTAATTTCCTTTGGTTTCAAGATATTTGCAATAATCTGTAAAAAAAAATTAACATTTATTCCATTTGAGGAAGATTCTAAAGAAATTTTTCTGCAAATCTTTCTGGAAGCATCAGGTTTAGTGAAAAATGTGAAAAGATTTTTTTTGTGGGCAATTTCATGCTCTTGAAAAAAGTTTTCTTACATTTTTCTCTAAATTCCTTCGGTTTCAAGATATTTGTAATAATCTATAATAGAAAAATTGACATTTATTCCAATTGAACAAGATCCTAGAGAATTTTTTTAATATTTTTTATTTGAGCACAAAAACCTGTTGGTTTACACAGCTTAGAAATATAAACAAAGAAAAATATTTAAAAAAATAAAAAATAAAAAAAAATTTTTTTTTTTTTGCTAATTTTTCTCGAAGCATCAGGTTTAGCGGAAAATGTGAGAAGACATTTTTTCTACGAAATTTCATGCTCTTCAAGAAAGCTCTTTTGTAATTTTCTCCTAAATCCACTCATTCTCGAGTTCAACTTCTGCTAATGAAATACAGTTCCCCTCTTTTCTACTGAAACACAATTCAGGATTTTTTAAATTTTATTTGAGGGTAAAACGATCCTTGAGAATTTTTACTCACGAATGAACAAATACTCATTCTGTTCTCGTTAACTTAGCCCCAGTCTCCCAACTTCATTCTTTTTCATTCCAAAATCCAGTATTATGAAAAAGAATCTTCAATCAGTGGGAAACCCCGCGTGCATTAAGGATTCCAACCGCTCCAGACAAGCCTCCAATAATCGTTTTATAAAACCAAAAAAAAAAAGAAAAAAAACACAACTAAACTAACAGTCACGGAAAGTATCTCACAAAAAGGACCTTGATTATCGATAATATTTATTCTAGTTTTTAGAAATGAATGAGAAGAAAAAACAAAATAATGTTAAAGTAAGGCTTAAGAGGTAATGAAAAAAGAAGAGCAAACAAAAATTAATATTTTAACAACTCTCCAACCACTTATGACAGTCATATGGGAATACGTTGTAGAACCTCTAGGATAATATCGTTAGGTAGAATTAAGGGTCTAGCGTCTTCAACCTAGGTACAAAATGCATAAAGACGAGTGAATCCATTCAAATAATCTGATGAAGACGCAGGGACAAGTGTTGATTAGCATTCAATCCACTAATTAGCAGTCAAGCTCGATCTAGATTAAATGAAGAGGAAAGAAATTTTATTAATCATTGTTGTTGACATGAGAATGAAACAAAGGGGTACCAAAATGTGTCAAGTGTCCACTGATCTTGATGACAAGATAATTAATGAGTAATTATGATTAATGAGTGATGGCCAACAAGCACAGTTGATTAGTGTATGGAAAGAGAATTAATAAAGCATGAGGTGTTGATGATTTAATTTTAATGAGGCCATACAGATCTATTTCCTAGGTATTTAAGGGATTAAGACGTAATTAAGACGTAATCCACCGGAATCTGAGGCGCATTTAATGGGAAATATTCAATTTTTTCGGGGGTGAAGACATCAGTGTGATGTTTGTGACAGGTTTCATTTGTAAATAGAGTACTAGGAGTTTTGTTAAGGACAAGAGAACAACTTTTTCCAGTAGTTTATACTTTTTATTATTTAATTATTCAGTTGTAAAGGGTAAAACGAAAAGTCCATTTCCCAAGGGTTTCATATTTTTGGAAATATCTCTGGATCGAGGGGAGATGGGATATATTGTGTGAAGACACTTTTTGAGGAGAATTTTATGTACTACAAAAAAGATATGAGCGAAAATTTTTGTCTCTCTCTTGGATCCTGAGATATTCACGAAAAAGTGATCCTAGATTTGATTTTAATTCGCTTTATCGATTTGCTAGTGAATTGGGGGCTGACAACACGCGGCAAAAGAGTGGAGAAATAACACGAGAATAACGAAAAGAGATGCCAATTGTAACTATTGTTTCCTCTACTTTTGTCATGATTACAGTTTATTTTTAAACGACACATTCAACGCATGTCTTTTATCGAAAAGTTTGGGGGAAAATATTAGATTCTAGGAATTAAAAACATTTCTGCACTGTGATTAACCCAGCAATGATCTTCTCAAATACAAAAACAGCAGCTTTTTATGTAGATATTCAGTGAAATGGAAATATAGTGAGTGTCAAGGTTCATGTGACTAATTTTTTCAGTTGTGAAATGGTGGAATTTTGGGATTATCTCGGCAATGAATGGATCCAGGGGAAAATGTCAAAATACATATTTTTTGAGGAATTTCATAAGCTACAAAAAACGCATCTTAACATTTTCCTTCAAATCTCTTAGTTTTTAAGATATTTGCAATTGTTTGAAGCAGAAAATTCATCATTCATTCAAATTCAGACAGATTTCATTTAGCTTCTTTCGGTGATATCTCCGAAACTGTCAGATTTAGAAAAAATAGCACATTACATTTTTTGTAGGGGAGAAAATTCTCTAAAGAAAATGTCTTTTGACATTTTTTCCTACACCCACTTGTAACCGAGATAATTCAATAATTGAAGAGTTATGATGCATTTCACTATTCACTATTGAACTAAATCCAATTCAATTAATTTACTTACAGTTGATTATCGTTATTAATGATCTTTATCATGTAATGATGTGGTAATTATCGAATGAAAATAACAAAACCCGATGACACAATGAATGATACAGTGTGAATTGCCCAGCGTTAACGAAAGTCGAATAAAAATCCATAAATCCCGTGTCTGCAATTAATCTAAGACAAATAATTTATATTTATATATAAATAATATTATATCTAGATTGTAATGGAAGTTGAATTATTGTACGGCAATTATGCACTTGCGGCAATTCGCGTAATAATTGTAATGGTTTTTCTTTCATTTTTTTCTAATGAATCTAAGGAAATTATTCATTCGAATAGAATTTTTTGTTTGGACAAATTTATTTTCCTTTTATTTTATTTTTTACCTTTTGTTGGTGGAGATGGTTGGGGATTAATTGTTAATTAATTTAAAAGACTATGAGATTCGATATTTAGAAATATCGCAAGTGTAACTCACTGACTTGAAACAACAGCTTTAAATGAAAAAATTCGTGAAATTGGGTTTGAGTGATTTTTAATACTGCAACCGTGAAGAACAATTATTTGGTAAGATTCAGGATTTTTTATTTTGGTTTTAGATGAGGGTCAAATGGTCGTAAGGGTCAGACGACTTTCAAGAACGTGTGAAGTTTTGCATTTTTATTTTCATTTGAATTTATTCATTAGAGACCCAACAGCCTAGGCCATTATAGGGTCAAATCAGGATGCATTCACATTTTAAACAAATGTAGTTTATAGAAAATTCTATTGGATTTCTATTGAACTTCTATTGAAAATTCTACTTGTTTTTCGTGGATTCTGTTAAGATTTCCCCCGTTTTACTGTGTTT